ACCATGCGCCCGTCACGGGTGGATAACTAAAATAGACATAGACACCTATTTGAGATTCGGGTCAGCGGCGCGGGCTTGTCCGCTACCTCTCTTGGGCATCGACGAAACGTCCGGACGAAGGGGCGGAAGAATGAGCAGAAAGGGTGAAGAGAGAGAGGGACGCTGGACAAATTATCTGCCATCCTCGACTCCCGTCCCCGACGACGGGTTCTACGCGTCGTCGGGGCTATCCTGCTACATTCTGCGGAGGAAATCCCTCCGCGAAAACTCCGCGTCCTAATAGCTGGCCATGGGGACGCGACGGGACTCCCGATGGACCGGACGAAATCCCGTGCATTGTGCAATCCGCCGTCGTACCCCCTACCACGTTAGCCCTTAACGTATCCCCCTCAGGCCGTGATGCTCGCGAGGGAAAAGACGCGCGCGCGCGCGCGCGCGCTTCTTCCAATTTGCCAGGTTGTGCATTCGACGGGAGATCGGACGATATTAGGGGAAGAAAATTCCTTCTCTCTTCTGCGCGTCTCATTCTCTTTTCCTCTTCCCACACTTCTTTCTCTATTATCCTATCTTTTCTTCTACCATCTATATACAGCGCACAGGTGCGTTGGGTTTCTCTCCCGCGTGATCTTTCGACCGCTGCTCTGTGTAGAATTATATATATACGTGTGTGTGTGCGTGTGTGTATGTGATGCAATGGGAAGTAAGAATAGTGCTTGGCACAAAGAGTTGATAGCTGCACATCTATAGCGCATCTGCATCTAGTGCCATTGTTGTGTCTCTGTATGATATTTTTTGTAAAGCAATTGTCAAATATACGACATAAACATAAAATTAATTTAACGTAATGAAATTCAATTAATATGTTCGCGTGACTGAATAAATATGAACTCCGCGCACAAATGTTATGAAAAATAAATACAATTGTTAATTAATTTATATAATTGTTGAAACAAGAAGCACACAAATCTATAAACAATCGAAATGTACGCGAAGAAAAAACGAGGTCTCGACCAAGGCGTTTCCCTTTATAGGATGAATTAAGTCTGTTTTTACGAGCTGTGCGTCAGGATCTTTTTTTTACGATCAACTGACTCCCCCGTAAACCGACCGGCCAAATGATTTCACGAGATATTGTGACTCGCAACCACGCCCTTTTTCAGTATGAAACGTATGAAACGTTCGCAGAAATTCCAGAAATCGATATATTACCCCGCATTCCGTGCGTATGCATTATTTTTCACACCTCTGTTCGAAAAAAAATTCTCTCTTTGATCTTATTTAGTCGCGCAATGTTGCGAAATATCGCGGCGCGATTTCTCGGAAGATTAAAAAAATATTTTTGCGTCCGCGGATACAAAATAAAACCGTGCCGTATAAAATAAACAAGAATGCGTTTCAAAACACAACAGTTTTTGACTGGAATTATAAATTCTGTAAAAAAACAATTGCGCGGCAATATTCTTTCTCTTAAATTACCACATTCGAGCTTTTGTATTGAGCCTGAGTACCACAACACACGTAGAGCTCATTAAGGCTGCGCGGAGATATTTGCAAATCTACGTAGCAGGAACTGCCTTTTTTTTGTGCGTTTTCCTCTCTCGAGTCGAGGATAAGAAAGGATGTTTCAGCAAAAAAAAAAAACAAAAAAAACAAAAGGCATCACAGAGAGCACCGTCGTTGAAATTCTTAACGCAGTCGGTCGGGGCGAGTCTGCGATGATCAGCAGTAGAAATCGCGGAGCGAGTAACAGTGCGGGCGCCACGCTTGAAGAAAATGTAACGCGATAGCGTTTATCCGCTACGGCTCATAAAACTACTCGCTTTATGCTGATGATTCGCGTCCCGGCGACATTTTTACGAAGGGGGGGAAAAAAAAAGGCGAGGAAAAGGTCAACGAATGGCAGAATTGGCGAGGAGAGAGCGAATGAAGGAGACATCGAGCGAAAAGAGAACGCTTCTCAAGAAGATGTGGGATGACCAACACGGTCGAAGACAGGACTAGATCGAGTTGAAACGATCCCGGGCTTGCAGCCAAAAGCGCCCCGGGCAGGTGTTATCCGTGTGAAATTATTCGTTCTTACAAAAGACGGGGATTTTGCTCAATTTTCCACTACGGCCTTAGCGCTAGACGTCTCTTTTGCCACAACGTCGATTGAAAGAAAAGCCGTTACGTGCCCATTAGACGACGAGCTTGCAATTTTTAAGTGGCCGACCATTCTTGTTCCCATCGCAAAAAAAAAAAACGTGGATGCTACACTCGTACGTAAGACGCTGCGATTTCATGGAACAAAACTACTTTAGAAAGGCCTTTGTGCGAACTCAAAGATTAAATTTGTTACCGCGGCAACAATTACATGCTGTTTTTTGAAAATGTAGCTCGGCGAGATTTGTAGTATATATACATATGTATGAACACACGCGCGCAAGTTTATTAAACAACGTAATTGCGGTACGAGTACAGGAATCGAAATACAAAAGCCGTGTATACTGGGACGCCAGATAAGAGGCCAACTAAGAGGATTAGTAATCAAATGGACGGCAGCAAACTGAAATAAATATAGCACCCGAGAGAGAGAGAGAGAGAGAGAGAGAGAGAGAGAGAGAGAGAGAGAGAGAGAGAGAGAGAGAGAGAGAGAGAGAGAGGAGAAGTAAAAGTTGTATATGCGACCAAGTTACCGACGTGACAAAGAAGACAACGGAAGACACTTGCGCACCGTACGACAATTCTGAATTTCATTTAAGATGTTTTGTTACTTAAAATTTCGATGTATATCCCGCCTAAAATCGCTAAGAGATTCAACTGTCCAAATTGCAAGAGAAACGCGGCGGACCGAAAAAGGATACAAAATATGAGGGCGAGCCGTTAAAAGTTGAAGACGCGTTAGCGCCAAACTGTTTCGACGTAATGGCCAAAGTTCCCGCCGTCCCGCCATTCCCCGCGTCATGGCCCCCCTTTATTATTTTATATTTCGCGGCATCGCGCGCGCCGCGCGCCAGTTGGAGATAACAGAAATTATACCTACGTTTAAAAGTAAAACAACTGTTAGAGACGTCGCGAAACTTTAATACTAAGACGATACCGGACCGATTTCATCTTCCGGCCGAGAATCCCAGACCAGCTCAGAGTCCTAATTCGCCGCGCGAAGTCTGTGTGTGTGTGTGTGTGTGTGTGTCTAATCCCTGTCGATACAAGACCAAGACACGCGAATGTTTAAACACCACAATGTACGGGGGGAACAAAAATGGAAACTATTATTTTCGGCAAAATTTAGGGAATATAAAACCGTCGGAGAAGATTTTTTACATCTGCTCTAAATGACAAAACTTAACATTACTTTTCCGTTATCACTTGTTTTTTTTTAGTGTAACAATAAAACTAGTTTGCTGCTGTAAATTTATTCCAAGTAATTTATATTCATCGCGTTCGCGTGCGAAGACAGATTCTACATTTTCCTGAAGGGATCTATTGTTTCAAATAAAGCAATAAAAAAAAAAAAAAAAAAGAAAAAAAAACAGCAATTGTATCTCTGGAAGTTAAGTATCCGAGAAAAATAAAATAAAAAAAAAAAAAAAAAACATTCCATTATCTATAACTGGGAAAATAACATACATAAAGATCTCTCCTGTTTCATATTTAAATAAGGAATCTCCGTTTCATACGCTACTCACGAACCATCGCGGAAGTATAGAGCCCCGTATGTATAGATTATGGACTGCCGAGGTACGTGCGTGCGAACGCTCTCAGACGGCTCCGAATATCAACGAGACGGCGTCGCAGGTAAATACCGAAAGCTCGTGATATCGCAGCGCGACGGCGTCGTGCATTAGCAGCGCGGAGCCGTTTCTTCGTGTGCGTCATCATTCAGTGCGCCTTGCAATTGCAGATTAGCGGACTCGCGGACCGACCCGCCGGACGGGGGATGTTTCGTCGGGCACGTTCCCCCTGTCGCGGCCGACTTGTTACAAGCACGTACGAGCGCATTTCCTCGAGCCGTCCAGCAAACACGCACGGATGCACCGTCGCGACGCGCAGCGCACGTACGTAACGCGCAATCCTGCCCGCTACACGCACGTCTGCCCGTATATAATATAGTGGGTCCGCAGTGTCCGTAATGTAATCATGGGTGACACAATTAATCACTGGACCATCCAACCACGCCAGGCCATTAGCGATTGCGACACACTCAGGTTCTCGTTGATAGGCGGACGCGTCTCGCACACATGCGCAAGTGTGCACACGAACAGCGTGCAAATGCACGTGAGCACGCATGCGGAAGAATCGGAAAATGCGCGGGAGAGAGAGAGAGAGGAGAGAGAGAGAAAGAGAGAGAGGAGAGAGAGAAGAGCTATCAGTTTCCTCGTCCACGATCGTTAGGATTTTTTCCACAATTTTTCGTGCGGATTATGCGCGTGATTAATTATTAGTGTCATTTTGTATCGCTAGATTAATATACAGCATGTAGTGGTAGATTCATTGATCCATTGTCTGACTGATTGGTTTGATATCGCGAAATCTCTATTTCATAGACGCATAACTATACATTTAATAGACTAGTTGGTAGGTTTGATTTTGCGCAACTTTAATCAAAAAGTTTAATATAAAACTTCTCTACAATCAAACAATATTTCTTTATCTTTAAAACAAAAAATCTAATGTGTGTGTGTAACGCATTTGATCTATTGAGTCCTGATCTGGAATTGATCTCTTAACTGATCCGAGGCGTACTTTCAAAGTTGATTTGATAATTAGATAATAAAGAATTAAATTATTGTAAACTGAAGAAATTATAAGAAATTATATTTTTTAAATATTGCAATATAATATTTAATTATATATTCTGCTTTTTTAATATTATTTCTTTAATTATATATATTTATTTATATAATTAAAGAAATTATATAAATTTTATATTCTGCCTTTTTTGCAAACAAAGATTTAGTTTTCCATATCGCAGACAATGCATGTAACGCTATAATGTAAAAATAATAAAGATCTTCGTGTATGTATTGTACATATGTGTATTTTGTGATATATATGTATGTATCACAAACAAAATTCACGATGTTTGGATAGATCGTCCTCTTATCCTCGTCGATGTCCAATATCAGAAATTTCTATCCTCCGTGCAACGTCGAGATGAAGAGCACCTTGTCTCGCGGGCACAGTTTATAATCGCCTTCACCCTGAAATTACATTTTTCTAAACTTCTCTGGTCAATCGAGTGACGTGAAGGATGACTAGAGCTTTTGCCGCAAAATTGCACATGGAAAATAGTTTTAGGAAACTATTTGGTTTTTTTTTTTTTTTTTTTTTTTTTTTTTTTTTTTTTTTTTTTTTCACATACACGATACAATGACATTCCTCGAAGAATTTTATAATCAATTTTATGTATAAAGTCTTGTGACATTTTTATCTGCTAAAATATTTCCAACACAAATTTTCGAACGCACACGAAGATCCCTAGTCCACTTATACGTCTGAAAAACATATTAAGACACTTTTCGCAATTTCGTTAAGAAAAAATTTAATCTTTAAGACTGATCGAAGAATTTTAACGAGAGGAAGAAGTTCGTCAAATCTGAGATGTCGTGTACGTGCCCTTATCAAATAAAGACTTACGTCTTCTTTATCGGCGATTTTTCTCTTCCTTCTTCGCGCTCATGCTTTCAAAATATCTCTTATCGATAGCAAACGTATTCATTACATCGACATTCGGAGATCGAAAATCTTGAAAATGTTAGAAAAAATTTTGCAAGAATGTTCGCGCAAAGTGCGACTATACGGTTGCATAAATAAAAAAATGAATGATGTGATGAAAAAAAAAACCAAAAAACAAAAAAAAAAGAGAAGCGAGAAAGGAGAAGAGCTGAATGATACATATTTTTTATATACGTATATACACAATATATACATATGTATATATTATATATACACGTATATAAAGGTATACGTACATACTATGTACGTTCTTGAGGAAAAAAGGGCCGAGTGAAAAGATGCGGAAACGTAGAAGCCGAAGCGCACGGAGAAGCGGCGGTATTATCATAATAATGGCCGGAGCTATCATCTTTTCTTCCCTGACGCTGCAGCATCTTCGAGCGGTATCCTGGTGTGAGACAGAGAGAGAGAGAGAGAGAGGGAGAAAAAAAGAGAGAGAGAGGAACGCGCATTTCGCCTCCTAATAGCCGCGGCGTATACATTTACAAATTTAAAATGATAATTCTCCCTGTGGGTGTGGCAAACCGAGGTCATTTGCGCCCTTTCAACGTTCGGGAAGTCCCTCCGTTATCCCGCGCCCTATTCACCGCGTAAAGCGCCATCGAATGTAGTAGTAGCGGTGTGGCCGATTATGCCGTTTGTAAAAACCGGTCACGGGGTATTCCGTTTGTCAGACGCCAGAAACAGCCGTGCGTCACCTACCTATCTATTGTGGGGTCGGGGCGAAAAAAGAATACAGCGCGACGGAGAGATGTCATCGGTTGCGTCGTTTTGTTTTCTTTTCGCACACGCGGATCATTTTTCGACACTCGTACATGTCACATATATATATATATATATATATATAAGAATCAATTTTTATTCCACCTTGTTATATACGTTATTCTATTATTTTTACGATTTGTCGTGAAGGCAAAAACTAGCGGATACTTGAAAGTTTTTCGATTTGTAATTAAGTTTTCCGATCTTTTTTTATCACAAAATTGTTACAACGTCCGAAATATCAGAAAAAGATATGATGACACACACATAGAACGAAATGATATCGCTTGTGCGATCGGGCCTTTCTTCGCTTCTCTTTTTTTATTATTATTACGTTTTAAATTTTTATATCGCAATATACTCACTAGCAATTCCCAGTCGGCGTCGTTCACCAGAACCAGTATACCCGGTCTCCTTAACGAAAACAAATTATCTGAATTAAAAAAAAATATTAACAAACACAAGTAAGATTCTATGTACCGCGATCGCAACGGTAACAACACACTCGCGCGAGCAAACGCGCACAACAGCTTTTTATTAGAGTTGCCATCGTGGTAGAACCAATGCCGCCATCTGTCGATCAGTCAATAGAAACGCAACGGATTCTGTCGCCATTTTATTAAATAACACACGATTGACACGAATATGCGTTTACAACACGAAGTGTTCACTTATGCCAAGCGATACCGTGCGCGACCAAGGTGTCAATTTTGTCTGTGCAACAATTCGTTGTGATCTTCTTCTGTTTTTCAACTTAGCCGCTCTGTTCAAGCGTGATTACGTGATCGCAAAAAATACAACCGGGAAAAAGGGACTTACACCGTGTCGCCTTGCATGAAGAGCTCCGGTCGCTCGGTTAGGAGGTTATCTCGTAGCCAGACCAGCAGTTGCTTCAAGGTCCCTGAAGAATTTTGCCCGACACATCAGCCGGAGAAACAACGAGATACAAATTAAATTTACAAAAACACAAATTTACACTTACATTTCTCACCAGGTAAGTTCACCTCGTGTCTTTTCTTATTGTTGAACAATAATTCCGCCCCACCCCTGCAAACATACGTACGTTCGCGATGATGATTTATCGTCTTTTGCCTTTTCGGATAGATGTGTGACTCTTTGCGCATGATATTTCTCTTTTCGTATTACTTTTTCGAACTTACCCGAACTCGATGGTGACGGGCAAGTCAGATTCTACCCTCGAACTCGTCATAGTTGATCGCGCACACACGCGCGACGTGTGTGTAAAATCGAATCGAACTTTTCTGGTTTGTACAATTGGATTTCCGCGCGCATTCACAATTGAACGCGTTTCCAAGTCGACAGTGGCGGAGCCGCGTTCGGAAAGTAACAATTGTTGCTGCAACTTTTTGAGCAGATGTTCTCACCCGAGCGCTGACTAAACTAAACGATCCGCGGGTGAGAGTACTTTTCACGAAAAACGTTGTTTAGAAGTTTTAGAACAGGCGCGGCGGTTACACCCCGGAGGACGCGGCGCGACTTGGGGGGAAAAGTAAGCAAAGCGATCAATGCTGGTTGTGAGTTGCATTTTCGAATGAGGTAGCAATCGCGACGAAGTTGATTGATCACCTCGCTCATCAATCCGCTCAAGGTTTGTTAAGTTGCGTTTTTTGTTTTGTTTGACAATACCTAAAAAAGAAAAAAAAGATAGTTAATTTATAATCAGTCGCTAACACACTTGCCGTTGACACACCGAAGAGAAGCAGCTGCGCAATTTTGGTTTTTCTGAACGCAGCCGCTACCGGCGCTTATACCTGCGACGTGCCGGATAATGTCGTCGCAGATAACACGACTGAAGTGGTCCATGGTCCGTGCGTTTTAAATTTCTTAGAGAAACGTGAAAGAACGGTACGGTTGTAGAAATGTTCGATTGATTGTCGACGAGAGCGGATCAATTTTTTTTTTTCCAATAACAAAATGATGAAAAACATCCATAATAAAATTAAAACGTGAACGTAATCGTATGCAATGTATATGCGTATCTCTTGTGAAATTCGTCAACGTGTGCGCATGCGCGAAAGTACATTGCTTCGGAACTTGGGCAATGGTGGTGTTTTGTACGCGTTGTGTAAAAGTAAACACGTACTTCTCTCTATCTCGGAGAGTTAAAACTGTCATTTTGTCGAATGACGACGATGTTCGCTTTCACGTGTGATTTTATCATCAGACTGTTTTCGATCTGAGTTTTTACACGCACAAAATGCAGCACAATTATTTCGACGTCCACGTCGTATGTACATACAGCCCTGTGTGGCGTGCAGGTCATTAAACTTGCGAGGATACTAGGTGTTGATAGAGTTTGATGCACACGATTTATTTCGCGCCGATGGTTCGCGTCGCGTCGCTGTAAGTGAAAACGCGATTTATTTGCGGCATGTGAAGTATATAATTTGTTGGAAATAATATTTTCGCGCTACAATGTTGTGAAAGAATTTATTTTGCCGTAGACTTGTGTGTTTCATAATGGCGGCTGATAAAAGAGTGTTTTCTCTTCGCGCGCCACTTTTACATTTTTGCCGGGTCGGCGAACATATATCTGAAGTATAAATTACCGATGTGATCGCCGCGTGAACAATAACGTGGATTAAATTGCGTTATTACAAAGCAAATTACGTGTATTTCTGTTGATTCCCAACAGTCTTGTACTATTTGACGATGTCGGAGACAAACGAACACTCGGCCGACGATACCGAGACGGAGACGAAAACAGTAGAAGATTTACCGAACGATTCGATCAAGAGCGAAATTAAATTGATGATGAATCAGACGGACTTGGCTCTGCTGGAAGACGAGGAGATGCCGACGTATATCAGTGTGTCTAGCACTTCAAGACCCAACGATTCAGACGTCGTTAATGCGAAGCAGCAAGAGAATCTGTCTCAAGAAATGCAGGAGAACCATAGTCCAAGCCCTGCTCCTAGTGAGGAAGGTAGAAGTGTAATAGCTGTCTCTTCTGAAGAAGAGAACGACACCGATCATGAAGACGAAGATGAGGATAGTGGTGAAGGTAAGGTAATACAAGGAGGTATACAAATTTAAAAATAATACTAGTTCTTTGTTTTATTTCAAGCAAGTAACTAATATTCTTGCACACTTGTATGATTAAATGTTTTGTATTTTATATCAAATTCATGAAAATAATTTATTATGCATTATATTTGTAGATATGGGGAATCTAGAACTTGACAATGAATTTGGTTCAGAGCAACATCTAAATGAATTGAACATGAAGCATTTGATGGATGAAGAAGCATTTGATGATGAGGAGGAGGAAGATGATGAGGAGGAAGAAGATGATGAGGAAGATGAAGAAGAAGGTCTTAGACATAATTATAATGATGGTAACAATATTGATTTGAGTAATTCTGATAGAATGTCTGACGACTTTCTATTCAATAAAAGAATAAAAAATAATGATAAGGAAAAGAGTCTTTCTCTTCAAGATTTAAGTGTGTGTATGAATAATATGTATGCAGGACATCCCAAAAACTCGCATTTAAGGCCAGACTACCTAAACATTCCACAAAATGCTATGATGTATTCCATGGTGCACAGAAAGCCAGGGCCGGCAAAATATCAACATGTAGAAAGTCCAGTCAGGCGATACATTAAAAACATAAAGGAACTAAGACGTTCTTCGGACAAGCAAAAACAATATCAGGAAGATGTAGTCCGGAATCAAAACAATACAAATCGCAAAATTAATGAAGCAGAAAAATCAAAGACCCCAAACAAAATAATAAAGGATTATGCTGAAAGAGCGATCAAGCAGTTGGAGATTGAGGAAGCCTGTGACAGAGATACGCCACCTTATAATGCCACTATATTAAACGGTCAAGATAATAAGAATGGTTTGCCATCAATACATGAGGAATCTACACAAGACGAGGTCCAAATAAATGTAGCTTTTGATGCGGCACAGAGTGAAAAAGATCCCTTGAATACTGATGATAACAAAACTCAGAAACAGAATGGAGTTGATGACAAAGAGTATAATATTCACGATAGACGAACTCCAATATCGTTCGCAAATGTGACCGTTCAACAAAATGGTCATCAAGACATGTCGACACTATTTTGCAATTTGCGTGCGGTAACTTATCAAGATTACATGCGTAATCCTCATTCCACTAAAATAGATGTAAATAAAAGTGTACGCGCAAGTGAACAAGAACAGGCTCAATCTGAGACTTACAATAATGCAGAGCCAATGGAAGTTACTATAGACAATGATACATCTTGTCCCATAAAAATTGAAAATATTAAAAGCATCAGAGCAATGGGTGATGAAGTAAAAAACAATATTGAGCAAGCAAATTTTGATAAAAATGAAGGATTTAATAAAATACCTTCGCACATCTTAGCGGTTGAATTAAGAGAAAAGTTGGATATGAAAACTGCGCAATATAATAATTTGCTTGAAGCATACAAAAGACAACTTGAAGAAAATATAAAATTGAAACAAGAGATGGAAGGGCTGAGAACATCTTTGGCAAATGAACGTGAGAAAAATAAACTTCCAGAACAGAAAGTTGCATCAATTCAAACAGATATTACTAATTGCGTACCTAACAAAGAAGATCAGAATAAGGTAGAATCCGCACAGATAAAACACAATAAGATGTTGAAGAACAGTATTGGTTCAACACTGAGTTCTATAGAGCAATGGAGCGACAGTTCAGGAACTTTGTCAATATCCATGAAACCACCTGAAGCAGTTAAAGTGTCACATTCTGACGATAGCATGCTGCTGACCGATCCTATATCAAAAACACTGTCGCCTTCCTTGTCTCATGCATTTATTACTTCATCAAGAATTTTAAAAACACTCTCAAATATCACACAAGGAAAACCGCAATCAGAAAGTCCTAGAATACAAAATTCAAAAAGGAGATTAAATGAAAGCTCAGAAATGGAGACGCAAAATGAAGATAGTGGTTGTCAAGCTCGACCTTCTAGTTCGAAAAAAAGAAAGGTTACAGACATTCTTAAATCTTTAAATGTTTCTGTAGAATCACGTTCCAGTGAGAATGAAACATCTAATGGAAAGTCACAATTCAAATATTCGTCTGATTCGGCAAATGACAAAGTAAAATCACAAGAAACTTCTTCCAATCTTAACACAAGTCACTTAAAACTCAGTGCAAATAATGAAACAGAAAATGATGATTGTTATCCGGAGGACAATGTGAAATGCTATGTGTATCAGGAGAATGAAAATAAAAAAGATCGCAGTTTTCTAATCCTAGCGGAAGAGCCTAAAGACGACAAGAGTGATAACGAAAAAGGACGTATTCGAGAGTGCGGTCCATATTTACTTGGCAATATAGAAGTAAGGATGTCCGAAGTAAACGGAACTATTAATATTTGGGGCAAAGAGGTAAGTGACTTTAAAAAAATTAACAAAATTTTTATACATTTGTAGAATTTTATCTTAAAAAAATGTTAAAAACGTGTTTTTTCAGATCAGTCAAAACTCCACAGCTGAATTTGGAAGTGAAACAGAAGCATCTGCTGCAGCGAAAGATGATAAAAACCATGATTTGCCAAGAACGCCATATATCAGATTCAACGGTAGCAATTTAGTATGCTCGACGAGTCAAAAACCAAAAATTCCTCCGAAATTTGAATTGTCTTCAGTTGCGTCTAATTTTTCATGTATACATACATCATCATTCAACACAAAACCATCATGTTCGACTGAGAAGGGAAACACAGCCGACATGTATAGTTCGTGCGTTTCTTCTTGTGAAGACTGTGATTCGTCAAAACATCACAGAGAATGTCCACGTTACAAAGAAACACATCAAGAAAAGTTACATTCTTGTTGTATTCATGACGCAGACACGTTAGAGCATAGTTGTTCGTTATACACAGAAAAACCGAAGTTCCAAAACAATTGTGATTGTAGCAAAGAAAAACTGAATAGCAAAGAGCGAGGTTTTTCAAAATCCGTAGAATCTAACAAGCATTTATGTGAAAACAGCGTTAATGCGGAAGAAGACGGCAAATCTACACGTAGGTGTCATGCAGTACGTCATTTACATAATCACGAAGATAATTGTCAAGAAAGTCACAAATGTCGTAATAATCACGTATGTACGTGTGAGCCAGAGAGCGGGGGATCCAAGTATCTTACTCCTATGTGTGAAAACGAGCCATTGATAGGAAAATGTAATGAGACGCCAGAGGTGAACATCAAAGAGTTTTACTTATTATTAGCAGAAATATATAAATTTATGTGACACTTATACTTGATTACACGTGACTCGTTTTTAGACAAGACGACGAAGATTGACCGGAAAAAGGGTACGAGGAATTCTGATGGATCTTTTGCGAGACTGCTGCAATTCTAATAGCACTAGCAAAAGTTGTATATACAAAAAGGAATCTTCACCAGGTTGCAGTTCACAAATCAAGCTTACGCCATGTGCGTCTGCCGAACAGTCATGCTCGAATCCGAGACATCCTGTCGGAAGGTATGTTTTCAAATATTTTCAAAAAACGTGTGTGTGTATACATGTATACATTTTTTTTTTTTTTGAGAAACTATGTTGAGAGAATGTTTTGTGTTTGTTTACAGATGTTGCCGTGCTTACGCACAGCGAATCGAGTCGCAATTAGAAGAATTTCGAGTGGAAATGGAAAGAGTTCGATCTCGTTCAGATGCTATTCTCAATATGCTAAATATGCTTCATTCCGTGGATACAAACTAAAAGAACTTATTATTCATATTACTTTTTTTTTTTTTTTTTTTTTTTTTTTTTTTCTTTAATTTACAAATTTTATTTTTTTTTTTTTTTTTTTTTTTTTTTGTTTTTCATATGTACATATATCATGTTTCTGTCGTTTGGTTTCTTCTTTGGCTCACACAGTGTAGTATCATACGCTACGTTTTATTGTATTGCTTATAAGATAAAGAGTACACAGCTGGTTTATTAAATAAAATATATATAGTCAAAGAAAACATACAGACGTGTATATTAGTAATATGCATCTATCGGCGATATGTATTAATTTTTTTTTTTTTATTCGTTACAAACACGTTTAATAAAATGGAATCTCGTAATTTTTTTCACATAGACAAAATATTGTTGCGACAAATACGCGCAAAAAATTAAATAATCGTCATACACTGTATAAATTTTTTTTTATGTATCGCGTAGCTTTACATGTTTAAAAAAAAAAAAATCTCGATAGTGTCAGTATGTAATGACAATTATAAAAAAAAAAAAAATACATCTATATAATATTTATCTCAATCAACTTTGTCAGAATATTATAATATTTGAAATATACACACGCGCAATACAAAGGTGACGTCAAATAATTTACTCTTCAATTTCGTTGTTTTTATCAAAAATACATATACCGTTATTGAAAGACAATTGTATATATCTTTAATAATTACAATCGCACGAATCATCTGGTAAAACGCTTGCCAGAGCAGTTGTCGGCGTCTCTCCTTGGCCGATGAAGATATTGCTGTAAGAAGTCTTCAGATAGTTCACGTGACCTTGCAAGGATTTTATGCGACCTTGCGCGTGTTTAAACGCTTCATTCAAGTTATTTATTTGACTTTGCATCTTTTGTCGGATCTATACGCCATTACCAAAAAACGATTCCATAAATATATCTCTGTCTTCATTTGCGTTTTTCTTATTTTTTTCTTTTTATTATCGCGCATATTCATAATCGTTACCTCATCTCTATCTCGTTGAGCAGCTCTCGCAGTTGCTCTGCACTGTGCCAATTGTCTTTCCATCTCGGCGATCTGACCCTGCATCGTTTTTCGCATAGTTTCACATCGTTCTTTCGTTCTCACTACTTGTCGAGCCGAATCTTCCCTTATCTTATACAAAAACAAACAAAAAAGACATAAATATTTCTAAACAAATGTCTGTCATGATGTCACGCATACCTGCTCCAACATCGAGGATAACTGCACATTCTCGTGCATTTTCTCGTCAATGCTCTTTTGCAATTGCGCTCTGTGTTCTTCACTTCGTGTCAATGTGTTTTTCAGTCTTTCATTTTCATGTCGCAATTCGCTGCACTTTTTTTCTATTTCATCAACTTGAGTAGATCCTTTTTCCTTTTCATTCTACATAAAGTCACAATCAGCTCTCTTAAAGATAAGGAAGTTTATTAAAAAAAAAAAAGAAAACTTATCAATTACAACCTGAAACGTCAGATGTTCAGTACGCAACACGTCTAATTCATTTTGTAAGCTTTGAATTTGGTCTTTACACCCCAATAATTCCCGTGACAAATCCTCACAGTTCCTCTCGGCAACTAAGCGCATCTGCTGCGCCTCTTGCATCTTCATTTGCATTTGTTTCAACATATCGGGCAATGGCGCAAGTTCGGCTAATTTCTCTTGGAACTGATTCTGTTTGCATCGTTAACGCGTGCACGCGTGTATATATATATATATATATAATAAAGATATAATTTGAAAAAAAATTGTAATAATATTGTGCGATAATACTTTAACACGTCCAATCTCCAAAGTAACATTCTCGTTCATTCGCGCATTATCCATTTCCATAAGATCTAGCTGTCTCCGCTGTTCTTCAACTTGTTCTTGAGCCTAGAATTTATTTCCATATCGCTTTTACATCCTTGAAAATAAATAAATCGAACACACAAACATTTGTAAATAGCAAAATAACAATACAAACTTGCAAGTATTTATTGCGATAGCTCTCCAATTGTGCAGCTTGGTCTTGAATCAAAGAACGAAGTTCTTCTAGCTCATCTTGTGATTCTCGGAAACGTTGTTTTGCTACAATTAAAGCCTGTTCCTGTTCAATTAGTTGTTCCTTAAGACCTGTCTCAAAATTGATTATTTTTTTTTTATACATTATTTTACACGTGTTAATCATTCTTCAAAACATTTGTATTGTAATATAGAGAAAAAAATACCTTCATATTTGTTCTTCTCAGTTTCTAGTAGCTTTAATCGTTCTTGAGCATCTATCAATTTTATCTCCATTCGTTCTTTCTCTTCATTCGCGTCGCGTGACTCCTGTTTCAACTTTTCCGCTTCTGTTCGCATGCACGATACTTCGCACAATTTGCTCTTGTAATCATCTTGAAGTCGAGCATACTGTTCGCGAAGATCGCTTAATTGTTGCTGAATTGAAGGACCCTTTATAGCAAATATATTTACGTGATTATTCATAACGTGTGAACCCAATTTTATTTTCTATTCTATCCTTACCATAGTCCCGTTTGTAAAAGAATTGGAACCGATCGGAGCTGTAACCTACATATAAGTGGTAAATTTTATTTTATTAAATTTGTATATCGGGATGAGAAGAGTAAATTAAAATATCGCGCGACTTATAACTAAAATTAGTCATTTAAATACAGAGAAAAGTAACGGATTTTGTACCAGTACAAACGGACAAATTTACCTGAATAGCTCCCGCTGGTACAGGCACTTTCGACGAAATAGACGTTACAGGAAGCCCTGGTGTAATTGTCGAAGACGGAGGGCAACAAGTGCAAGGTGCACAAGGTCCTGTGCATTTAAGCAATTTACGTTGTTGGTGCAGTTGCTGTCGCTCCCGTTGTACGTTCGCTAATTCCATCTGCATGGTGTGTACTTTACTCTCCATAGTATCTAATTGTTGTTTCTGAACAAGTCATGAGAGAACAAGTCATATAAAATAAAGAATAGTTATTTAAACTTTTTTATAATATGTAATATTTATACACATATATAAAGAATCTTAAAAATAAAACTTACCAACTGTTTAGTACTCGTGCTGCAAGAAACGAGTTTATCTTCCAATTCCGCAGGACATATTCCTTCGGAAATCATAGGCTTAACAACGACTGGACTTCGGGAATACATTTCTTTATTTTCTGAAGTGTTGTCGTCTATGTTACGTTGATCTTCTGTTTTCGATCCACCTCCTGTAAGTCGCGGGGAGCCTGTAAAATTAAAGAAATAGGAAACCGCGATATATATATATATATATATATTATTGTCAAGTATTTTTTTCAACAAAAATATACAGAATTTTTTTTGTTAATTTTGCTCTAACAATAAATTACGTGTGTTAGTATACCATTATCTTACAGTATACAGTTTTTGGTGGTGACGAAGTACCAGCAATCTGTGACTGAGGACATTGGCGTTCGTCCCGAGGCTGCGCGCTGACATACAGACGCGGTGATGTCAACGGTGTTGACGGACAAGATGAAATGACACCCGGACAGGTGTAAGAGCAAGTAGATTTACTTGCTCGCTGATTCAAACTAGCCACAGTTTGTTTCAAAACTTTATTTTCTTTGACAATTATGCGCACTTCTGTTTGCAAGTCACATACCTTCTTCTGCAAACTTTCAACGGCCGTATCTTTCTCTAATAAAGCTTGTTCTAGCTTGTATCTATTTTAACAAGATTGTTTTGTACAATTTAGATTTTTTGTTTGTTTGATACTAAATTCTAATGAGACAGAAAAACGTTTAAAATATATATCTGCATGTTTCAAGACCGAAATTACCAACGTTTAAACATACGCTTAATTCATTGCTACGAGACGACATAAGATCAAATTATTTATGGATGACATATGACATATGACATGTTTTCACGTCTGAAAATATCGTCAAACTGTTGTCGAGGAAACCGTATAATTTTTAGTATTTATTCGATATTCTACTATTATATAATATATAATATGTATAGATTGCGTTCCGATATTCACTGCCAGTACTAAAAACCTATACTTCACGTCACATGTGCTATAGATTTCTGGCAGTGAATAACGGAACATAGCCATAATATGAACTAAAAATATATTTTGAATGTTTTCGAAAAAACTCGATTAATTTTGTTTTGTTTTCTATAAATAAAATTATAAATAAATTTATTTCCTATTTTTTTCTATTTCGGAGATCTGTGAGTGAAAATTTACAAAACAAATATACAATTAAACTTAATCATGTGTTGTCATCCTTGTATATACATCATGATTTTTTGCATATAAAAATTTATATATAAATTTTCTCTTTCTATAAAATTATACGTATTTTTTTTTAGCAAGTAGAATGTATAATATACAAGAATGTATAATATACAAAAAAAGCTCACTTGCCACCTTCGAGTTGCACATTTTCTTCAACCAGTTTTTCTTGCATCGTTAACGATTCTGTTAATTTATCAGTTAACTTTTCTAAACATTTTTCTCTTTCTTTTTGTTCATTATTTGCTAACACAATTTTTGGCAGATCAGTTTCTGTGTAGCCGCAGACAATTACTCTTGGAAGTCTAATTGTTAGAGGTACGTAAAGAATACAAAATTTCAAATAATTTGGACTTTATTAATTGAAAATATTTTTACAAATTAACTTTAAAAATTTACTTATTTTCGGGATATTCCACTCGTGGAATATCTTCCTCTAAAAGTTTTTGGAACGGTTCTATATCTCTTTCTTCTTTCTCAACGTCTTCTTTTTTTTCTACAATATCTAATTTTAAATTTTCCATTTCTCTAAGCATTTCTTGACGCGTCTAAAATATATTTGTTGCATGTTATTTTAACAAATATAGCTGTTTCTTTATTTTGTTAATACAATATGCAGAATTGCGTATATCGAATAAATATTTCTCTAATACCTCATGCAACATTTGCGTCAAGCCATCAAGTTCTTCGAGTTTGAGCATAAAAAGAGTTTGTTTTTCTAGAATCATAAATCCGTCATGTTTTGTTAATTCAGGCTTCTATAAATTAAAAAAGATTAAATTATTTTGTTTCTTAATAATGATATGTAATATTTGTAGGAATTTAGTAACGGTAATCAATATAACAGTAAAATATTACCTCTGAGAATTCTACTATTTCGTTCTTTAATTCTTGAATTTCATCAGCCAGTGTAATGCACATCTTATCTATTTTTTTTAATTCTTCGATTGCTTTATCAGTGAAAAGAATTTCTGGTTCTTCTGGTATTTCTTCATCTATAATTTAAATTTTAATAAATTATAATTTTAATGTAATAATTTTAAAACATAATTAGAGATATATTGTTCATTACAAAAGAGATACATTTTTTATTACAAAAAATATTAAACAAAACTATATATATCTTTTATAACATCTGATAAGACAGAAGACAAAGATGTACCTTGAAAATCACTCTCGGCTTTATCTTCGATTTTATCTTCCTTGTCTTTATAGACATCTTCAGTTATCTCGGCTGCTGCTTCCGCAGCATCTTTTACTGGTGTCGTTATGACACTTTCAGATTTTGATTCATTTTCTTGTTCTTCCGATTTCTCTTCTTGTATTTCCAGAATTTTTTCTTTGTTGTCAGTCATATTTCTACATATGTATATAAAATTATTATTTCAATTTTTGTATTATATATGTTTTATATTTATATATTATATATATACAGATATATATTTACATATGTTTACAATACAATGTAAACACGAAATACATGCCATGAAATAAACTTATTACCTTGAGAAACTTTGTTGATTCTGTGTTAAATTATTTTTTTGTAATTCTTGCACAGAATCTGATATTTTTATCTCAAGTACTTCGCTCGTTTCTATTTTGTTTCTTGTCCTCTCTTTATTTTTGTTTGAACATTCATCGAACTGAAACAGTTAGAGTATCCTTGTATTTATCGTACTTTCAATCAAAAGTAGCTTATCCTTTTGTTATTGTTTTTTTCACGGTAGATAAAATGAAGAAAGGAAGACGGATCTTAGGATTTATAAAAGCATACTGGTGGTTCGGGCGGTTCGAGATCCGTTCGTGGCGAGAAAGATTGCAGAAATAACGTTTCCACAACAGGTTCTGATTTTGTAGTATTCAACGTTTCAATCGATTTTTCTTTGTGATAATTAAATGCTAAAGAGTATACATTCTTTAAATTTAAAGTTTTCTTCAAGTCGAAGAGCGATTCCAGGAAATAAAACGCGTCTTTTTTTAAATACGGCGCGTCGTTGCAATTTTTATTTTTTTGTTGAAGCTTAGTGTAGCTTCGTTTCGAATTTCGAACTTTTGAATCATCAGTGTTTCTTGTTTTACCTAGAAAACGTTCGTGCGTTTGAGAATATTTCAGTGAAGGCAAATAATTTTTCACACAACCGTGCCGTCGTTTCTGCAATAAGAGAAATTGACAAAAGTGTTATCATGTTATGTAATACTCTTTAACATTTTTTTTTTTTTTTTTTTGTATACTGATAAGACTGTTTTTTCAGTATTAATTATGATACATGTATGTGTTTATGTAGTATATCGTGTGTATATATTTTACGTAAAAAAATATTTTATTTAGAAAACGTTATAATTTTACCTTCATATTTTTACCTTCGATTTGACACCGATTTAATCGATGAAATATATAATGATTTATGCGAATAACCTACAAAATGTTGATATTTCTTCTGACGAAGTTACAAATACAATTTGAGTATATATAATAAAAAAAGACTTTTTGTGTGCAATCTTCGCAACAAGCAAAGATTTGTATATATACGTTATAATATAAAAAAAAGAGAGTAAGTTTTACACACGATGTCATACACACTGTCACATTTATATCAAATATATGATCGTGTATGTGCTATATTGTAAAATTTCAAAGTTGTCTTTCTGATGAAGCGTACGTCAATTATTTTTCAATAAGTTATGTTTGTGAATAAATAGTACCGCGCTTTTTTTTTTTTATTATCTGAATATTATCGACAAGATTTCTTTTTTTATCATGTTTTTTAAAAAACAAGAAACTCTTGTATTATAGTAAATATCCTTACATATATTTCCAGATAGAAGAATGAGAGCGGTCACGGTCATAAGAAAATGTGTAAGGCCTTGTTTATGCGAGCAATAACCGTTAACTTATGCCGGAACTTAGTAAGGTTCAACTATAGGATTTCAATACTTCTGTTTATACTTATGCATTTGGCAATTTCGTATTCGGCGGTTCTCGCTTGTATGCGTATCCCCACCACGTCGGTGTTCTCATAGCACGGAATAGAACCATGTCCGCGAAAAGCGATTACACATTTTCTTACGGCCGTGACCGCTCTCATTCTTCTCTCTGATATTACATATATACATACATACATACATATATCTAATTTATATAACTAAATACACAAACGTATTTAATAAAATATTAAATATTTCATAAAACTATAAAAAAAAAAAAACATCCCGTCCCAGTAACCAATGGTTACCGATAGAGTTGTCGTATTTGTCATTTTTATGGATGATACGTCAGATGGTAGCAGTTGCGAAGAAAAAGACACCGCTGAGTATCTTCTACTGTTGATTTGTTCTTTTTTTAAAAAAATAAATTAATATGTTAAATTGTTCGATTAAACATTAGTTTGATTATTTAAATGCTGTTTAATCGATCTATTAATTTAATATCATTGATATAAGATTAACTACAAGATAAAGAGGTTATGGATAACAGTGAGTACAACTAAATTTGTTGTGTATATTTTGTATATTTATTGTTTACATATAACATACTATCATATATGTGTATATATAATATACTTTTTATATATAAAATTACATATATTGTATCGAGTTTTTATACAGAAAGATAACACATGACTTTTTCTAATTAAAAATATTTGATTTGCTTAATTTTGTAACACAACAGTTTTTAAATTCACAAAATATACAAAACTGTTATAGATGAAAATACAATGCAAATAGAAGATCAAGCTGGAGAAGTTGAACACAATATGATTTTACAGCATGATCATGGAACACCAGAAGGTTCTAACAATGATAATGCACAAGATCCTACTAATGATAATGTACAAGATAATGACAAAAATGAAATTGTAGCTAAGAGTTCACAACAAAGTATATTTCATAATAACTTTCTTATTGTTTTTTTGTAAAAATACTTTTTACAAAAAATTATATTTAACTACAAATAAAATTTTAATTTACAGCAAATGAAATAAATCTTGATGTCTCAGAAGTAGACTCTGACCAAGCATGTCCGATTTGTATGGAGCAATGGACTAGTTCGGGAGAACATCGTTTATGTTGCTTACGTTGTGGACATCTGTTTGGATATAGTTGTATTATCAGATGGCTACAACATTCTAATAGTGCAAATCGATCTTGTCCACAGTGCAAAGCAAAAGCTTCAATGAAACACATTAGAACTTTATATGCAAAAAAACTTACAGCAATTGACACTTCGGAATATGATAAATTGAAGACAGAATTGAAAAATGTATCAGCTGAGAAAAAACATATAGAGATGGAATTATCACAGCACGTTGTTCGTCAAAGAATATACGAGAGTCAGTTGGACAATATGAGGAAACGCGTCACTGAATTAGAAAGTCAATTAGAAAATATTCCACATAAAAGTCAAGATGTTTTAAATCTCTCTAGAAAGTTTTATTTAGACCGAACTATAGAGATATGCAAAGAGAATGGATGCCGTGTCTTAGACTATAATCCATGGTATAAAATTCTAGCTGTTTCTCAAAAATCAATAAACTCTCTGTTTAACGGATACGGTATAAGAAAAATTGACTGTGAATATTTCAACGTACGGCAATTTGTTTGCTTGCATCTTGGTGTTATAAGAGATCTAACTTTTCATCCTACGCAACCCACGCTTCTTCTTAGCGTTGGTTTCGATAAATATGCTAGGCTGATGGACATTCAAAATAATATGACAGTACACACATACCAAACAGAATGTTCACTTTGGAGTTGTTGTTGGTCAGGTGACAATCCAAACATATTTCTAACCGGCGCGCAAAATGGACTTATTAGTCAATTCGATATTAGACAGACTTCTGGTGCTGTAAGAATCGTTGACGATCGTCACGATGTGTCACCGGTTGTATCAATGGCAATGGTTCCACCGAATCCCAACAGTGGTATAAGTAGAGGTGGATTTGTAGCGTGTAGTTTAAATACATGTTACGCGTACGAAGTTAAAGACGCTGTGTACGTACCCAAGCAGATACTCTTGGAAGGCCCCTTCATCTCGGTGCGCTATGATGCAAAGCATAATCATTATCTTATATCATCTCGTCCCAATCCCAGACAACTGCAGGCGAGACACACAGTATGTACTTTAGAAAAGAATGCAGATTTTGACACAATCTATTGTAACACTATACATACATTGCGTGCTGGAAATACTCAACAGCTTTTATCTCGTCCGTGTTACTTGTATACGGAAAATGATACATTAGTCGCAGCGTATGCAGAATCAAGCAGCAATATATCATTATGGAGTACAGCGAATGGCTCACAATTGCATGGTCTTCCCGTATCGGATCCTGTTATGGATTTATGCTCATTTGAAGCTAACAATAATTTATTTTTAGCTACTCTTTCTTCAAGGAAATTGAGACTATACAATTATGGGCACAAATTGACATAAAGTACAAATCAAAAATAATACACAATCTGCCTCGTTGCTTGCTGTATGTGTGTATATGTGTGATATCTATCTTAAGCCGTGATCGAATATTTCTTTTTTGATATAATATATATTATGTGTATACAAGACTGTGTGAGAGTTAATTTTTTTATACATAATGTACCTACTATATCTCACATATACATATCTCTTATCTTTCTTTACATACAACTTTGAAGTAAAAATGAATAAATGTTTGTCTAATTTCACACTTATCTTTTTAATATAAATGAATTTTATTTTTATTATTTTTCTGTATATGTTTGTGTTAGTTTACATACTTGGAATTCAAACAGATAGTTACAATCTGAAAATACAAAGTTTTATGATGAAAAACTAATTATTCTTTAAATACTGTTCAGATTTAGACTAATCTGAAAATTCGTTTTACTAATATAGTTAATCTTGTAAAGAATGTGTTTATCAAAATTATATAATGCTGTACATAGTAGGAAAATATCTGTAGAAAGACAGAGTCCAGTCAGAACAATGAAAAAAAGAAGTATTTATTTTTTTGTAATATTGAACATTACAGTGATTTTTAAAACATCAAATAGAACGTCAGAAACATCCACAAATAATATGAATGATTGTGTATTTTGCGAGCTGAATATGTGAAAGAAATTTGATTTAGTAATTGATGCTATATGTATAGCGAATTGCTGACAATATGTAAACATGAATACAATACACTGAAGCTGTAGTTAAGCTTCATCCTTTCATAATACAACACACATTTAACATCTGATTGTACATAAAATTATGCATTTCTGCGTCATATACATTATTATACAAATGATACTAATTAAATTTTCATCTCTTTCTAAACAAACATCACTCTCTGTGTGTGTCTGTGTGTATGTGTATGTATGTATTTGATAATTTTATAAATTAGTTACCAAAAAAACAAGTAATCTGTTGTTTTTTTAGTTAAAATCGAAAGTAATCTAATTTTTTTCTTTAAACCTTTTCCACAATTGTACATTTTAACGTCTGCAGTTTAGTATTAAATCAAATTGTAAATTTATACATAAATGCTATTTATGTTTAAATCTGGAATGTACACTACGTGATGCAAATACAAAAAGATTGACAGAATATGTACATGTAAGAATACATATCCATGAAATGTGTGTGATAAGAGGCAATTTCATCACCTCACAAGCCAACGTGAATAATGTACAAAAGTATAAAGTATTAACACAAAGTGAAATTAAGTTTAGAACTTTTTTTATACAAGCATACACTTCAATAATATACAATCAGATTTGCTCTCAAATTACAGATTCTCTATTTTAAATCTATCAAAAAACTAAAAAAAGAAAGAATTATTTTTTTGCACATATTTATATACTATCTATATATAAAGGATATACATACATCCTTATTTCTGCACAATTATAAATCTAAGTGATGAAATTACTTAACGATTATTTAATTACACAAGTATCAAATAGAAAGACCTACACAAAAATTGTGAATTTTTATACAGTATGGATTGATATATATCATGAAAAACTAAATTGAAAAATATATTTTTGCTGTATTTTGTAATTTCAAACAATCTTATTTGTATACATTTTCGGTTTTGTCCTTTTTTTTTATTATATTTACTAAAGAGAGATTAATTCTATGTATAAAAATCGAGAAAACAATTATATTATTTTTATTATACCTGTGAAACAGTTAGCACAAAATTACAAATGCAGATACTTTTTTTTATATTATTGACAGATAATATAAAATTTATATAGAAACTGCACTCAAAATTAATATATTAATATAACCACACACTCTTGAAAAGATACAAAGTACATATACATATATAGCAAAAAAAATGCAGTTTTTTGTATAAAATTTATTTAATTCATATAAATTTGATTCAATTTAAACACAATTAAAAATTAAAATTAGTAACACATTAAACTATTACATAGAATGGAAAAGTGGACAAGTAAAAATTAAACGTTATCTTAACTTTGAATTTTTACATCACGTTATTAGAGAAATTTTACTATTGTTTCTTTTTGTTTTTTAAATCAATAATATGAAAGTTTACTTGTGTTACATAACATATTGTTTACAAAATGTTCCTAATTTAACTAACGTATGCTGTAATTTTTATTATTTTCTCAATTTCTGTCTATAAACTTAAATAAATTGGTGGATATTGTTTTGCAAAAATTGCTTTTCAAAATGATGTTTTTGCGTCCAGATATTGTCTTAAGTGCGAAATTCAATTTCTTTTGAAATAACATCACTGATGATACTTGAAAATGATATTATTACAAAGAAATTTTCAGTGACAGGATGATGTTTTTATAAATGTGACAGATTAGCTATGTCATGTTAGTTATCACTAACTGAAGAGGCAGTGCTCGGTGGCGCGTTCCAAGTCCCAATTATATGAAGACAAAGCAACTCTTGCATTATGTTCCTCAATTCCCATATCTGTTAATCTTCTTATTTTGTCATCTAAATCAGGCATTTTTGCTGGACCTACAAGCCAACACAAATCAAAAGGTTGTTCAACACCAATATGCGTGTAATTATAATACATACCACCTGCATATACAAATGTCCAATGTGTGGCAGTTTGCCTAAACATTTCGGGGTGTTCTTTATACTGTTTTGCTACTACAGCATCTTGAGGATCATCAGGTTCCGCTGCAGATAATAATGCTTGTAGTGACAGCAATACTGTACGTAAAGTCATTGCAGCAGCCCTTAGATACAAAAATAAAGTTTTTTAATTATGTTATAATTACAACAAGTTATATAGATACTCTTTGATTCTGAGATGTTATACACATACAACATATGTGTGTGTGAGTGATTTAAATAACACATACCATTGATCTTTTAAAATATCCAAACAGATGGCACCAGTAACAGAAGATATATTAGGATGCCATATCTTTGTTATAAAGCGTACCTATCAAACAAAAGTTTTTTATATTAGTTATACGATATACAAAATATCTTTTTGTCCAAAACCATTTTTACAGTTAATTTTAAAGGAATCAGATAGATTATAATCTCTTCTCTTATAATTGTGCATATTGCAATTAGAATTAATAGGTATTATTGAAAATAAAGAAAACAAATTGTTTTTTTTTTTTTTTTTTTTTGTTTTTTACAATCTTATATCTGTATTTCTTAAGAAAGTCAACTTACTTTGGGGGGATTAAAAGGATATGTTTCGGGAACCTTAATTTCCAGCACAAAATTACCACCTTCATATGGTGTGTCTGGTGGACCAGCAATCTCACCTTTTAATTCCGTGAGACTATCGTTGACTAATTCAACTTTAATCGCACATTTTGCTATCTATTAAAAATATCAAATAAGTAGAGCAGTAGAAAATTATAAAATTGTTACAAATTATGTATTAGTTTTAGTATATGCAATTTGAATATGTCAGACGACAATTTTCGTGTGCGTGTATTAATATACTAAATAAATTACTATCAATTATCATTCATTAGTCAAATAAATTACATTTATATACAGACTTATTTTTTACATACATAAACAAGTAGTATAAATTTTCATAGACAGAAAATATTGCTTTATTTATAGAATTTCAGAAAAATAAATGTTTTTTTTTTACAACAAACAATTGAATCGGGTTATGAAATTTATTTCTAGTCAGTGTACAGCGCACATATATACAAACTAAAATTGTTTTCTAATCGTTTTTTAACGTACGTCACACAACTTGTTTGTCTTGATCACTCTTTCGCAAAGATTGATTATGCAATCATGGATAGACATATTTGCGAGAATTAGATAAAAACAAATGTGTGTATTGCTAAAACTTTTCCACCACAGTCTGCTTGCGGTGCGCTACGTCATTGGCAATAAATGTTCAAAATAAACATGCAATCGACATAACCTGTGACATTTAAACGTGATAATAAAAAATTATCACGATTGCTAGTGACAATTCGAAACTGTTATGTTACTCGCGTTAATTCGACCGCCTTAGAAGCATGTGGAAGAAACATTTTATCACAGAAAATGTCAATGTGAGTACGGAAAATGAGCAATCTGAAAAAGTGTAAAGCCGCACGAGGATCTCACTGCAATCGAGATCCCAGACATCGCGGTGAGTATACACACACATCTAATATCTGTATTCATACGATTTAATTAGACTGTTGACATGGACGAACGGAGACATTTTTGCTAATTATTGCATCGTACATTGATGCATGTCATCCTCTGTAAATATACAGACACTATATGTTGTTCGCTAAAGAAAAACATAATTTACTCACAAAGGAAAACAATGAAACAAGAACACAAAATTATTTATCGTTATGCGCAAAAAATTTGTTAAAAATTGTTAAGTAATTAAAATCTCAGTAACGCGCATGTTTTACAAGACAAGGGAGGCATGATTCGCGAATTGAATGCTCTCTCGCATTGAGCGTGATATTTTCGAAAGAAAATTACAAAAGACCGTGTACGTAAAATGACAGTTGGGTAAACCGACACGTAAAAAGCAATCGAGCTTGTGCACAAATCTGTCAAGCGGCCGATAACACAAATCGGCGCTTTTTCTCAAGTCGCGTGCGAAATATTTCGGAATTTAAAAGCGCGTAAACCGCTTTTCATTCGCTGTGTACTTGGCGAAAGTTATACATACACATATATATGCACTTATTGTGTATACATGTATATATACGTGCGTATGTATATATATATATATATATATACATACGTAGAAAGCAGAAACGGAATTCGCATCTTCGGCCACGAATTTTTTTTTCGCTCACTCACCTCCTCGCTCTTTATAACCTCTTTAAATTCCCGTTTGATTCGCTGTGCCGCGATGTTTGCCATGGCTTCTGAATCGTAGGGGACGGTTAGCACGTTATCATTGTCACGTGAATAACCGTTAACCGGGTATGGCGTGTTGCTCGCCCCGTTGTCCTCAAAGATTTCGTTTATAAATTTTTCCACGCGATATCGCAAAATTTCGCCTGTCACCCAAAATTTCGCGTCACCCGCGGTCGAACCTAACCCGTGGTGTGTGGCAGAAACTCACGCCGTCGTTACATACACACGCACGTTTGTTACATATTCGATCAGCGCCACCGGCGCTCCATCCGTCCCGTATGTGTATACATATATATATATATGTATATGTATATACATAAGGGCCTCTGACCACTTGGTTTAGTTATGGGTTTTGGTGCGGTTGTGGCTCGCGGTGAATCCCAATAATTCTACAAGGACATAAGATCGAGTAAGATTTCTATGTGTTGTCATATAAAACCCAACTATTATTCTGTTGCGTTAATGTTAAAAACCGTATAATCGCTGTATATTTTTGGTGGTGAATGTGCATCAATTTGTCCATCTGAATGTGATGAGATATTTATCTATTTTTTTTTTTCAACGATCTGTATCGGGAAAAATCGATCTCTCTACGTACATATAAAATTTTTAAAAAATATATAATAAATTATTCTGCAAAAATAAAGTGTGATAACATATTATACGCAGACAGATTGGCAGCAAATTCACGAGACCGCAAACAGAAGTAGTAGTTAATAATCCGCATCAAGCTAGAAATCTATAGTCCTATGTAACGAGTGAGGTAAAAGATTTTTTTTATGTAGGATTGAGGAGAATATCGGAATGCAACCCTTAATACGCAGTTCCATCAACAGTTCGAGTCAATATTTTATCTGACGACAAAATCCGCGAGCAGATCTGCGTTAAGGTTTAGTTCCCATGTTGCTCAATTGGTCGATGAGGGCGCGGTACATCTCGATTAAAAAATTCGAATTTGTCGAGCGCAACGTCGTAAGTTCCACAATCGAAGGAACAGGCGCAAAAAGTGAACTCGCTCGCTGTGTCCCGCCCGCGCCTTTTGAATTTTATCTAAATTCACTCCTGTCCGTTGCCTTCGGCAAGCTTCTGTAACGCAATTTAGCTCCGATTGTGGCGGACATATGTGTCCTGATATTTCCGATCGAGATTCAAATTTTGTTTTTGGATTACAATCATCGTTTGTCGCGGAAAAAACTGTGAGAAAGGAACACATGTTCGGCGAGAGACGGAAAGCACGCGATTGTCTCAAAAGTAGTAGGAGACATGTAATTGTTGCGAACTCGAGTTGAGAGCATAAAAATAAATTTAAAACAAGGGCAGCCGAGAGAGATGGCGAGGACGAAAATGAGACAGAGCAACCGAATTGCGTCGTCGTGTTGTATTGATTATCGGCGACGCGCCGAGAGACGCCGCGCGGCCGATCAACGCGGCCAATGTCGCAACCGTTGATTTACGCAACGATATAAGATCGTCTCTCATATCTGAGATCATTTATTTTCCTCCGTAAGCAAACCGTAAAATGATATAACCCGGAGGCTTTGATAAGACTTTGTTTTTGACGCGTTAATACCCTGCGCGCGAGAGAGGCGGAGCGTAATTCGGTGTGACGTCACGTCCGCTTCGTCGGGCGATCGCCGATTGGCCAGACGTTACGGTGGTTTCTGTTGTAGTGATGCCTGTATCGCAGCCAGTACGAGCCAAGAGTTTGTTACGCGCAAACTTGGAAAATTCTCGCGTGAGAATCTTGCAAAGCAGGATGCCGAATATCAAGATCTTCAGCGGGACTTCGCATCCGGATCTGGCTCAGCGGATTGTGGACCGGCTTGGCATCGACATCGGCAAGGTTGTCACCAAAAAATTCAGCAACCTCGAGACATGGTAATGGTCGTTACAGATTCCGATTTGTTAACCACGTTATATTTGTCAATCGCGCTGAAGCCGTAAGCTCGCGACCACGTGTCATCGCACGCGCCGATCACATTCTTTCCGCTCCGGTGATTCTGATCGCTATCAGCAAACCATGGTGTTGTTTCGCCGTCTTTTCATTCTGCGCATTCATAAATTTTATAGCGTATTTATAGCATTCCTTTTGTCGAGTCGACGCTCCGAACAACCCCGTTACAAAGAGCAACCGCCACAAAGAAAAAAAATCAAATTGTAGTGGTTTTACAACACTCGATAGTCGCGTTCGCCGATTTGTTTTTAACACAATATGCGGCACGCGTGTATTCGCGATATTAAGATTTTTGGAACATGCGAACGTACACTAGTTGCAAATTACTTTGTTCCCGTGCTTCGCATACGCGACACGAACCGAAATATGCGAACGTTGCGGATTGTTGATTATAACTGAGAAGATCCTCATCATCATTTTTAGCACCGGAGTAATGTATCTATCAGTGCGGAGTTAGTACTCTGAATTTTTCATATTTATAGACGGTAAAATGTATTTTAGCTCGATATTTTTGTAAGTCAGTAACTACGATAATAACGATTCGTTCTCTATATAAAGAAAATTAAAAACGCGATCTTTAATCGAGTTTGGCATCGATATGTTGGAAGTTCTTATTTTTATATTCTTTTTTCGATTTTGATTTTTATAAAGTTGCCGAAAGTAATAATGCAATTAATAATATTTAGCGTGGAGATAGGGGAATCAGTTCGTGGCGAAGATGTGTACATTGTCCAAAGTGGAAGCGGCGAAGTGAACGACAATCTAATGGAGCTTCTCATCATGATCAATGCTTGCAAAATTGCCTCGGCATCTCGAGTGACAGCAGTTATTCCTTGCTTTCCATATGCAAGACAAGATAAGAAAGACAAGGTAAGAGAGAAAAAAATAACGATTGTTTAAATAAAAAAAATATTTGCGGTCTAAGTAGTTGAAATAACAAGCGTAATATTTTTAATAAAACAAAAACACTTGTAAATAATATTTATTTGATGACAACGCTATATTTATACGCTATATGTAATTTTAGTTTTAGTTTTTAATATAAAATAAAATTATTTTTATAGTATATAAGCACCACACACAATATTGAATTATTGTTAATTTGAATAAGTTATTACTGTTTTATAACATTTCTATCCATATGCACACAAAATACATAACGTTCTAGCAATTAAAAATAAATGTATGTACATACACTGTACAACACTTACATAATCATTGCATCATATTGTAGCTGTGTACCTGTATGACTGTACATAGATACATATTTGCTGCAAAATGATTCTTTTAACACCAGTTATTACTAATATAACCTTTGATCAATTCAATATTTAACATAATGATAGCCTACATACATACGAATACATGAATATTAATGCGTTTTTTTGATCATTTATTTAATGTTTTTTTGAACTTTATTTAATGACTTAAGACTAATGATATGATTTTCAAAACTACACACAATATGTGAACATATACATTTTTCAACAGTACTTAGGTGTGTCTCACAGTTATGCAAGTAGTGCATTATATCATGAATAGATAAAACGAAAGAGAAAGAGGTTTTAGTAATAATGAAAAAAATAGTAGTAATTTATAAGGAGCTTTTAGAGAAAATGTTTGTAAAGAGATAAGCCTTTTTATTATATTAAATAATAAGTAAATATGTGCTATGTATATATAAAGTTCAGTATTCATATTACTCTATGAATTACGTGCTATTAGTTCAAATAGAAAAATGTGTTTGTTTGGAAAACAAATTTTTTCAAGTTCACTTTCTGTTTAATGTTTTCTCGTTTAAGTTTTCTTTTGAGAAGTAAATATAACAAATGCGCGAGGAAAGGAAGAGGAAACACAATGGAGAATTTCTTTTATGTATTATCTTCACAGGGCGGTGATGGGGAAGACTCAAAAAAAATTGTGCTGAAGTCAAACGACTGGAAATTCAGGGTAACTTGCGGTGGTTCTTTTTTATTTGTTCTACATTTTTATATTTTTTTATATAGCTTTGCAACCGACCGGTGGGATAATATCATTTATACCAAACGCAAAAAACTCGATTTTCATCACCATATAAAATCCGCTTGTACTCTGCAGGCTTTGTCATTGGGCACCAGATAGTATAATTTATGTTACAAAAATTTCACTATTCGCTGATTATTGATCTTATATTTTATAGGATTCTTCAATAATATATATGTGTGTGTTTGTATGTATGTATCTTTTTCACTTTTGTAGAACAAATAAAACACGAATCAAAAGTGGAACCAAAAGTATAAGAATGTGCATAAAAAGATATATATATATACACACACACTACAGAAAGAGGGAAAAATATTAGATAATTTGCAAGCAAAAATGCATGAAGAATAAGTAAAGGTTGCAACATTTCATATATTGTAAATTTCAAAACAATTATACATAAACTAAATCATTTATATGTAATTCATCTCGTATATATGAAGCATGAGTTCAGTTTATGCGAGCAGTAATAATTCAGATTAATGTCATATATCAAAGTTTGTATTTTGAATCACATTCGATGCTTTTTTAGTATCAATACGTATATGTATATAGATATACGTATCATTGGTTTCTCGAAGTGTAAAAGAAAAATAGTATATATAAACATATGTGTAATATATTACACAGAATTATAATTTTCATCTATTTCCAATTACTAACGCAATCACACGAGATGTTTGTAATGAACTACATAGTAAATATTCTAGTTATCTCCAGCAATGCAAATGCACAAGTATTTGAAACATGTTCGATGATGACATAAGGTTATCAACTGGATGACTAACTGAACGTTGCAAAACTCGTGCTAGATTTCTTTCAGGGGGGTCTTCTGTGTTATTTTGCTGTCAAGATAATAACATTTACGCATTCAGTTTATTTCTTACGGACTCACTTATTTCTTCCCCCGATTATTTAGTTTTTTATTTATATACGCACGTGTACAAAAGAAAGATATTTTACTTCTATACATTCTCGGTATATAAAGTTCACAAACGGTAAAGTTTCTCACATTCAGATGGTAACATTATTCAAAATATTATATACAATGTAATAATCGTGTGTATTGCTTTATACTTACAAGAACACTCGTATAAAAGTTGGAGTTTTGATATCTCAAAAATGATATACAAAGAAATGACATATAATTTTAACTGCAAACATATGACATTAAAAGAAACAAAAATCCAAATTTGATGTAATTCGTGTGGTATTTTAGATTGACTGAATAAATTTCTTCAAGAGAGCTATCAGTATGTAACAAAATATCCATGAATGTCTGGTCTGGGTAAACTAATATGATAATATGGAATTTTCCTATTGTCATTCAATTGTTTACTTTTCTGTGTTTTTATCAAGTAAGCACTGATGGTAAAAAAAAAGATGAAAAATATGTTGCATGATAGATCATGATGGATGTGGAGATAAAAGACGTATGAGATTTATGCTTGGAGATAAAAGTGAGACATTTAGAGTCTATGTTTGGATATTGTTGAATCACAAATGGTCACTTTTGGAAACATCTTGAGTTTTTTTTTTATTCTCTTCATTACTTTTCTGTTTTCTTTGTGGCCTAAAAACTTTGAGAGAAAATTTGAAGTTTGACGTATTTGTATTTCAAGAATGTGCGAGTCGTCTCATGATCTCCCAGCATTCGAGCGTGGTGCTCCAACACAACTCTGCATCAAATAGAAAGCCGCCATTTGAAATATAAGCAGCGCCTTATGTTTCAAAATATTACAAAACAAAAGATATTCTTAATATTGTTAATTATTTATGTTTATAACATAGTAAAAATCAAAATTTCCACACACTGTGTTTTGTTTTATTTTTCTGAATAGTTGCGTGTTTTCAGGATATTCTGCCCGATCTGTCTACAGTGAGTATAATAGCAACGAGAGATTGTCGAGTGCAGCGTTTGCAATAATTCGATGAACCATTCGATTTGTAATTCGATTTGTACTTTTTGAATTCAAACAAGAATTTTCTTTGTAGGACTAACCAAACTTATAATATCGTTGCTATACAACACAGTGGTATCCCCATGATTGAATGAATGAATGAAACATTTGGTCACAAAGCATATTGATATCCGAATGAGAGGGCAAAATATTAATATAATAGCAGTACATTGTTGGCAATTATTATTACAGTGGGGTACGCACATGTTTCATTGGGTACTAATTTATATCGATGTCGATGTTATCGTCCGAATGCACTAATCAAGCCTTATCTCATTAACGCTTATACATATGTGATAGTATAGGAATGTCAATGAGTTACTTTGATAATAACTTGTGTTGTCAATAATCATGGGAAAATTATAAAACAATTATTAATAGCTTATTAATATATAACATAGTTATATTTTTTACTTCAGTACTAGTTTACTAAAACTGTTCCATTATTTGCGCACAATGCATTTCTCGATTTAAAAAAAAAACAATATACTAATACGAACATAATTTGCAACTGTGAATTATCTTCCTATCTATAAATGTTGCATAAATATATACACAATATTAAAGATGCACTCGCAATATTGACATAGTCGTTTGTTTAAACAAAAATTTATTTTTATCTTTATTGATGTGCATTTTTACGTCTATGTTACCAATGTTTGCCCTCTTGTTCATCTCCCGCCATCCTTTGCTACACGAGGGCAAAGGACCGAGATGCATTGTGTTTTGTTTTGCGTTCGTAATTTTTAGATAATTTGCTTTACTTTCTGTTGTTAAGAGTCTAACTGGGGTGCATTTGCAACAAGTTAGTTGTTTTCCTGTAAAATTATATTTTATGAATACACATTTCTTTTTAAAAAGAATAGTTTTTAGTACATGGCCATTGTATTTATATTTTGTCCCCTCCAAAAACAGATAATCTGTTTTGGTAATTATTACATTTTCCAATGTTTAGTATAAATCATCGTGTATATTTCTTTCTAAAAAGACATAGTTGAAACAGAGTATCGTTCAAAAAGATTTTTTTGTTTTTTTTTTAGTTTTGAATGTAATAAAATCTAGATTCGTGAATTTTTTTTCTTGTGATATAAGTTTGATATTGCTCATAAAGAATTTTAATTTTTTTAAATTGCAGGATATTTCCAGTTGCAAATGGACTTGAGGGACTCGTCTAAATTCTTGAAACTTATCTTATTGAAATGTGTTTTGCAGAGTCGCGCTCCGATTTCGGCAAAACTAGTGGCAAATATGCTTTCGGTAGCGGGCGCAGATCATATCATTACCATGGACTTGCATGCTAGTCAAATACAAGGATTTTTTGACATCCCAGTAGACAATTTGTTTGCCGAACCAGCCGTTCTCAAATGGATCAAAGAAAATATTTATGAATGGCGAAACAGCATCATTGTTTCTCCGGACGCAGGTGGCGCTAAGAGGTAAGCGAGATAATTTCTTAAAAAGAGAAAAAAGAGAATTTTATTGACGCGATATGTTGATCGTAACTCTTGTATTTTGCAGAGTCACGTCTATTGCTGATCGATTAAACGTCGAGTTCGCGCTTATACACAAAGAAAGGAAAAAAGCGAATGAAGTTGCCAGCATGGTATTGGTTGGAGACGTCAAAGACAGAGTCGCGATTCTGGTGGACGATATGGCTGATACCTGCGGTACTATTTGTCATGCAGCAGAAAAGCTGTTGGAAGCTGGAGCCACGAAAGTTTACGCTATACTAACACATGGAATATTCAGCGGTCCCGCAATTAGCAGGATTAACAATGCTTGTTTTGAAGCTGTAGTAGTGACTAATACTATTCCTCAAGATGGTCACATGAAAGATTGTCCAAGAATCCAGGTAAGTGTTTTTCTTGCAGTATAGAAATTCTTTTATTGCGATAATTTATATAGAGACGGAAGAAAGAAAGAGAGAAAGAGTAAGTGAATTTTAACGTGACACTAAATAAATTTTCTTTCAGTGCATTGATGTCTCGATGATGTTTGCTGAAGCCGTGAGGCGGACTCACAACGGTGAATCAGTATCGTACCTGTTTTCTAACGTACCGTATTAGACAAAAATTTTCCGTATATTGGAAAATCTGTGTAAGAAGAATGTATACTCTTTTTACATTTGTTTATTGTTAGTCATATAAGAATAGTTTCATTTATCTGCTAGCCAGCGGGCTTATTCTAGAACTTTTAACGTATACGTTATGAATTTTTGGTGCAAAAAGTAGCGCAACGATACGTTAACGATAATGAAATTATCGCTATAAGTTACAGAATAAGAAGGCTGGTACACACATTTCTGTATCCTAATTCTAAATTGAGATTGTTATCTATTTTTTCATGAACTTTATGAGTATGATGACAGTATCGATATATGAAACTACAATACATTTTTAGAAAATTTAGATATAATATGTACATATAAGGCGGTTTTTCCTTTGAAACTTAATAGTCTAAAGATATTCTCAATTTTTACAAACAATAGTAAGAATGCATAATGCTTTTGTGTGATTGAAATTTCGAACTTTATTAAAATCTTAGTGCAGTGTTGTAATTTACAACAAGTAGCATCGTTTAACAAAAATATAAGAGAAGAATCGATCTGTATTGAACTTTAGAAATCGAAATATTTGTAAACTATAAGTATCATAAATGCACATAATATTCGCTTACTGTGTAATTTGCTACCACGGACATCCCGTGTTTAGACAAATTTTAGATCTGCAATATCTGTATAAAAAGATTTTCTAATTAAAATTTGATAATTTTCATAAATTATATGCAAAACTAAACTAAGTTTATCGCGATAAAATTTGTTATGCGCATTTGTACGTAATAAGGAAATCTGATCGTGTTTTTAACGCGATGATTTATGACACCGATAACGTGAAAAAAAAAACAAGAATCGGTTGACAGCCGTCAATGCCAGTTCATTTTTATTCGAAATAATCTCGGACCAAATATCAAGATTTAGCCTGACTACAATGATTACGACAAATGCAAATTTTTTACTTGTTATGTGATTGGATATTGCAATAAATGTATTTAAAAAAAAGTGAAAATGGTGTTTTATTAGTGATATAATAAGTTGAGATTATATATTCCAAAAAATGTATAATATTAATTTTTCGAAACGTTCGTTTCTATTTGTTATTTATTGTTATTATTTTTATTTCATTTTCTGGGTAGTAGAATGTGTTAGCGAGATGTTTACTCAAAAAAAAGATCACATATTTAATTACATCTCATCTAATGTTAAGATATTACAAATTGTGTAAAAAAAGATAAATTAGTACTTATTCTATACATTTTATACATACATCACGATTTAAATTAAGGCAAGAAACTCTACATAATTGTAAATCAATCATGTAGTTTTTTTTTCTCAAGCTCGTGAGAGATATAGTAATTAAGTATGAAAGGATGTTTGTTTCATTTGAGGATTTATGATTTTTCAACGCCAGGAGGTAATGTTATATCAAATACTATTGGAGGATTACTTGGTAGATAATTTAGATCGCATGTCGACGCATTAATATATATTATTTTGCCATCTGAAGATATTCCATATCCTGTAAGAAACAAAATTATACATACAGACAGAATGAATCGAATATTTTTCCATTCAAACTCAAGAATATATTTTGGAAATTTGCTGTACCTTCATGTATGTGACCAAATACGTGATATTTAGGTTTTACACGATTCTGCACGGTTGACAACAATTCGACGCATCCAGCACGTACTCCACTACAGCATAGATCTCCATGACCTACAGGAGGAGTGTGCGTTACGAGGATATCTGTGTCTGATGGAATCATTTCCCATTTGGAAAGACATGCTTCTCCGCGCGGCACGTTAAATGCCCACTTACAAAACTCTGGTTGCCTAAAGTTTCAACGAAATGTCCCTCAGAAATAAGAATCTCCTATATCTGAAATTGTTGTCTACAAATATTTTTCATAGTATGGCTCTCACACATGTTTGGTTTGCTTCTAATTCAATCCATCAATAAATTTCTAAAATATTTAAATTTTGAGAGATCTTTACAATTGACAAGTAATACAAGAGAATTCTCTCTTATAAATTCAATTTCTATTTCTTAGCTTTCTAATTTACAACACTTGTTTAATATAAATATAAATTGATTGATAATTTTGTTTATTCATTGCTAAGTTATTTATTATTAATAAAGCTAATAGGAAATGCAATATTTACCATGGAGTGCCATATATTTTGATTCCATGTACTAAAACTTCAGAATCTTCCAAGTATGTACAATTTGTCAAATAATCTTTAACATTAGCAGTTTTGATAGCTTCAGCAAGAGTATCTTTTGACATGCCCAAAGTGGGTATATCATCAAGTATACTAGTCCCTGTATGCTTCTGATGATCTCCACTAGTATGTACGGAAAAGGGATGTGTAAATGTTGGATCAAAGCTAAGTTCATGATTTCCAGCTATAACTATTTTGTGTTTATGTGGTAAATTACCTATAAATACACAATATACATTACTTAACATCTTTAATATCTCAACAAAAGATGAAATTTATATATATATATATATATGTTTATAAATGTTTACCTATCCAATTATTAAATTCTATAACTTCTTGTAAACTACCACATTTTGTAAAATCCCCGGCATGAATAAAGACATCTCCTTCAGGTATATCAAACTTGATAAAAGGTGTGAGTGAGTGTGTATCACTCATACATACTACGCGTAACTGAAAAGTAGATTTTATTTTATAAATTTATATGCGTCGTTTGGATGAAGTGATACAGTTTACATTGTAAAACCAAAAAATGTTTAACTCTGTATAATTATAATTAACAATTAATAACTACAGAAAATTAAGGAGCGAGTGCATAGAGGGTTACCACAAACACGTCTTTCTTTATAAAAAGAAGTTAAAACGATGCAAACGCTTAAACGTACTTTATTGGTCGGTGCTTCAGTTGTTGGTAATTTAGCGGTTATCTTAACAACTTTCTGATGCTGCGATAACTCGCGCCAAGCTGCCGTGGGATTCGCTGTTAATGGGTGAATATCTATCTTCATGCTGAATCGACGATCTGATATGACAGGTTTACATGTTACGGTTCGGTACGCTAAAATTAAAGAGAAGACCGAGAGCGGCCACGGTCCCGGTTTAACTGTTATCGCTTTTTCACCCTGTTCGCCAGCGCTATAATTACAAAGTGGTGCGCGTTGGCAACTACGTAGCCATGTCCACGAGCAGCTTGTCGGTGAGTATGTTACATACCCAGCAAACATCAACGTGTCAGCACGCCGTGAAATCATGCCATGTGAACAATATGTTGGTACAGTGCTGTTCAGTGACGCCACGGGTTGGTGTGCTAGCAAACTGATATCATGGCATGCTGAAGATGATGAGCATAAATAACGACAGAGATCGCTACTTTTCAATTGAAATGCAAGAATAGCAGGAATTGAAAGAAGTCGATAAAGTGCGAAAGAAGAAATGAGAACTGCAGAGTTGCAAGATCGAGCAGAGAGCAACGAGAGATCGAAGCGGTGGGGGTACGCACACAAGCGAAAACCGCCCTCCGTGTGCGCACACGGAGGGCGGTTTTCGCTTGTGTACGTATCTACATTGCTTCGATCTCTCGTTGCTCTCTCCTCGATCTTGCAACTCTGATGAGAAGGCTCTCCGATCTGTTGCGGAGCATGCGCAGTAGCAGACGGTTGTCTTGCACTTTCTCAACTTCTTTCAATTTCTGCTATTCCTGCATTTCAATTCCTGTATTTCTTGCGTTTGTTCGTTCCCTCTTGCTTAACTGGACACACAGCCCAAAGCTCGGATAGAGTGTTGAGCGTAACGTGTCATCGCGATGCTTGCCAGCTTAGATAAGTGCCAAATGAATTTGCATCTGACAGTCACAGAGGCCTAGTTTACACCGTACATCTTTTTGATGTACGCGAATCAAATAAAATTTGTTTGTCAATGTATAATTTTGGCGCTTACATCATTTATAAATGTGCTTGATACGCGTATCATTTTGATACGATACGCGTGAAGAAGGCATTATCGTACCAGCTTAATATGACATTGTTTACATTATTGAGACTAAGCCGATTTAATACGAATATAGTACTTAATACGCGTGTTAAGCGATCGGTGTAAACAATAAGCCAGAGACATCACGCCATGAAAGCATGCTTGCGTAATGCCGGCACGTTGCCACCATTTTGTTTGCTGGGTACATACTACCGACATGCAGAATAGTCTCGAGCCGATCGCTATTTACGATCGCGATCGAGTCTTGCTCTTTTGATCGATCGATCGGATACGTCTATAAGTCATCAGGTTTTAAACATAGTGTTCCATAAAATACAGCAGACAAGTATTAAATTTTTATTCTCTTTCTACAGAGATTGTTTGAATAAATGATTATCACAAGAGTTTCCACGCACATACAAAGATATAACAAATATAATATACTGATTACATGTAAATATATATATATAGGCATTATTTCTTTTTGGTACGTAAATATTTTCCTTGTTTTTAGTAGATATCAGCACTCATCAGTTATTTATTTTTCTTTCAGTTTATTATTTTTCTTTCGCAAATCTTCAATAGTTTTTGCCACAAAAGCTTGCCACTTATCAGGTTCATTCTTTGTATACCAATCAATCATGATTTCCAGAAGCAGTTTTTGTCTTTCGGAACATTTTTTGCACTCAGTTTGCAAAGCTTCACCTACAATCTCTGAAAGAATCAAATAAATTCGTAACATTCTTATTGATTTCAATTCACACAGTGTTTTAATCTCATATATTTTTGATTATAATATTTTTAAACCTGAATTTTTAAATTAACGTCTAACATTCTGTTGCAAAAAAGATACAAATTGTATTTAGACATTAAAACCTAAAAAAAAATATGTTACATCACAAACAAAATACAAAATAAAATAAAAATTTCTATAGCAATGTAGTTGCTTTTAATCTGAAAAAGTATTTTAATTATTTTCTTTTGTGTTCCTTATATAATTTCTCAGAAAAAATTTTATATAATTTTACATAATTTTGTTATATTTTTACTCAAAAACTTTTTTTTTTCCTAACCATCCATTCAAATAAAAACTATCTCTAATTGTATTAAATATAAAATTTATTGTAAAAAAAAGTAAATAACTATTGTACGTACCTTTAAAGAACTTTGCGTCTGCTGTTTTGCATGGCGCGAAATCCATAAAACACTTGTAATACTGATCTCGCAGTTTAGAATTGTCCAGAATACCGTGAATATCAATGTCGTCGTACCGAGTGGAATATACTTCTTCTTCTGCGAAGACGCACGATAGTGCAATACAGATGACTGCAACGACGCAGCTTAGCCGAACCATTATTTCGCTTCTTCTGAAACACAACTTATTGACCGTGAACGGAGAAATATCGAATGCGATGCTGTTGAGCAAACGTCTTGTTATATATAGGTTCAAGCCGTCATTTATTATGCTAAAGTCTGAACCGTCATCGAGAGAAAAAAGCTGGAAAAAGAATTGTACTTAATCATGTACGTTTTTGATGATAAATAGCCGACAGTAGTAACAATATGTAATAATAATGTTAATATGCACCTATTTCATATTATTTATCAATAAATACGCATTTGTATAAATTTTAGCTGGTATAATTGCATTTTAAGACACCACAATCTTGTCGCTTTTTTATGCCTATTTTTCTTATGCTACCTCTAGATTATGCGCGTATTCGTGATTTGTGACTCGTGATTCGCGATTATACAAACACTTTTTGCGTGTATTCGCGTGACTACTACGTAGCTACGTAGCGCATCGCTACGAATCGCGAATCACGAATCACGAATACACGCATAGTCTATTCCCAGCATTACTAAAACTTTTTTTTTCTAATTTATTTATTTGCTTATTAATCTATTTATTTTTATTTACTTTGACTAAGCATACGAGACCAAGAATGAGACCATTCAAAATTGAAGATATAAACAAATGTGGAAACAAAGAAAATAAATAAAAGTGAAATCACATTATCCTAAAAGGCAAATAAATTGTTGGTTTTTAGTGGGAATATTCTTCTATAAATATAAAACATTTGTTATATTCTTTCTATTAACTCTTCAGTGCCAGACATAAAAAATTTAAGTTCGAATATCTCCGTAAAAAATCAATATTTTTTTCAATTTCTTTTCGTTTGAATCAAACAGTTAAACGACTCTGCGTCGATCAAAAGAAACAGATTGAAAAAGTCTTCCACTAGTTTTGAAGATACAAGCGTTTAAAGAAAAACCTGACAATTAATTGTTTCGAAAAAAGGCTTTTTGTTTGAAAATTCATAATTTTTTGTGTAATTAAGATTTTCACAAAATTCCAACGCAGTTTTGTACAGACTCGTTCGTACTTTCAGGGACAAAAGTGTTTTTTAAAAATTGTAAAATTAAAAAAAAAAACATTTTCACAATGGATTTTTTGGAATGTTATTTGAAGAATACATTTTTCTAGCGCCCAACTTTGACATACAATATTTTAGCAATAAATCAATATTTAGACATAATTATTTTTTTGAAGAGAAAATTTAAACAATTCTTCGTCGATCCAAAAAAAAAAACAAAGTGAAAAAATCTCTAGTACTTGACTTTCAAAGAAACGTTTGAGACGTTTCTGCGCGCCATGACCTAATAAATCGCTATATAGTAAATGTACATATAATATAATTTTGATAAAATTATAAAAAACAACAAGTTTTTAATGTATTAAAAATGCACAAACTGAAAAAAAAATTCACTTACTTCTCGAAATGCTAACGTCTTGTTCAGTCTTGGGTCTCTCAAATCTTTCAGATCCTTTTACTTCAAAATTTAAACTTCGCAAAGCTAAACGAAGGACGCTATCGTCAACAACTTTTACCATTGTCGAAAGTTTTTTTCATGGCCTTCATGATGTCGCGCTAAATTTATACCTAGGAGACACCGGTTTAAAACTTTTAAGTGGGTCTCGAAGAGCCATATCTGGCACTGAAATGTTAAGATCAGGATCAATATTTTTTTGTATTTGTTTAATATCTATATATTTTTACAAGACATGAAGTTATATACAACACTAGATTTTAGCTATAAAAAAAAACAAAATGTCTCAAAATTATGGATGTAATAAATAAAAAGATAAATTTTTATTTTTTACACGATTTAAGTATTATTAGAGGAACATGTGCACAAAAGAATTACGCATATTTTTATAAAACTTGTTTCAAACAATCTGTGAGTTAATATTCGTTATCCTTGTAATAAAACAACTCTGATTTATGTGGTACGAGTATATTTAATGATGAAAATAATCAGATGGAAAAAATTAGTATCTGATAAGAGATCACAGAAACATATACAATAATTAATACTTTATCTTTATGAATCTTTGTGAATTATTCATGTATATAGACGATTGAAGATTGTTTTTCAGAGATAATTATAAGTTAGTATAATACGTAGCTGTGTTCGTTATACGTACGTAAACAAAAAAACAGTTCGATACTTATATAACTCTGCTCAAAATGATTAAAACTGCTAAGACGTGTATAGGTCACATTGCTATTAAAAAAAATCATTAAATTTCAGACTATGGCCATATATCCATGTAATAAAATATTAAACTACAACAGCATAACCTTGAAGAGTATGCAACGCAAACTATGAAAAAAACCTAGTCAGCATAATAATAAATTCAATGTCTTCAATGTATTATTTTATGTACAAAAACCAACTTTTTTTCAATTTTATCACATCGCATTCGATATACAAGAGAAGCAACAATGCAACAATATGTAAACGTTAATTGTATCAAATACTATTTGGTAATGTTTATCTAAGAGGATCATATGTGTAATAAAGTACACAGTTTTATCGGAAATTAACTTTTTATTCCTGCCCCACATTGGCTCTCTTTCTAGAGTTGTACTTTCTTGCAAGATCGCTGTACAAAGAGTCATATTCACGTTTTTATGAATTTTTCTCCGTACAATTTGCATTACAATCTCTGGGCCAATAGATAGAAATTTCATTGTTCGAAAATGAAATACGTGTGTGTGTGTGTGTGTGTGTCAATGCACAATATATAAAATTGTTTTCATATATATATATGTATATATTTATATATATATATATGATTCTTGTTTTATTTACAATAAATAAAATTACATTCTCATAGATCAACAGAGTTCACAAAGAATCGGAAAGAGAAATGACGGTGACACTCGTTAGTTATTACAAACCTTTGTGTGTTGTATGTGTGTGTGTGTGTGTGTGTGTGCGTGTGTTTCTCAAATATACACTTATAAAATTTAGTCCGGTCCCACTGTCTGATATTAACGGGCAAGAGAGCCCATTTCAGTTGATTTTTATTTAAAAGATTTCACGATAAAATGTTGCTCAGAGGCGATTTGTTAAAGTAATCAGAGACAAAAACATGACACGTGATCATCAAAGTACAATCACGAGCATAAAGAACGAAGTACATAGTTTTGTTTGTTTTCTTCTCGCAAAGAAACACTTATAAAATCTTCAAGATCTACACACATCGCCTATAATATATATATAAAATACTATTTCGCCGAATATATTAGTGTGTCACCGTTTCATACACACCGCATGTATATAAAATGTAAATTATCCACATAAAAATATGAAGACGACGCGTATATATATATATATTATGTGGAAGAGAATGGGAAGGATTTCTTTTAAAAGATTCTTTTAGATTTAGAAAAACTTCGCGAAATCAGTGAGAGAGATGACAAAAGCCGATCTGTTTAGACAAAACGGTTATAAAATTACTTACAAATTCAAGCTTTCTGTTTTTAATGTTTCCAAAAGTCTTCTAATACTGAGTTTGGAAGAAGCCAAGCCAACCTTTTTCGTGAAATCGCTGATACAAACATATTACACGCTGTCGATAATAAATATGTATTTTTTTTTTGTTTTTTTTTTTTTATCTCAGATATATACACACATTGTTACTTGTTTTTTTTAACACTTTGAGATATTAACTCGTTTTTTATTGTAATATTTATCGCAGACTACTTAACTGAACTAGTGGAAGTAAGTCAAGGCATCTTAAGAAACATTTACACGAACACTGTATGTTCATGGTACAAGGTATAGAATGTATAAAACGTATATGTGATGTATAATGTAAATAATATGTAAAGATGCTGAAATAGAATTAAAATGCATCACGTAGTATATGAATTACATTTGACCAGAGATATGTTCTGAAAGTATAACGAAAAAAATATGTTAATCAGAATATTATTTATTTAAAACTTAATATTTATTTGTGTAAAGAATTCGGAAAAAATATAAAAATTATAATATAACAGAGAAATATGTTAATCATGTCTTTATTTAAAAAATAAATATATATGTATACGTGTATATTTTATAAATATACAATGTGCGTATTTTATTTATCATAATTAAAATTTTGTTAAATTAAATGATTGATATGCGATTGATCAAATGCATCTCAAATGCTCTTTTGAAATACATTATTTCACTTGAATGAGTATAAAAACTTGTTTGTCACGATGACAAGTGTTATAAGTTTACGAGTATTGAACCTTGTAATAAAGATGAATAAGAAGTTTCCTGAGAAAAACAAAAAAAAATATTTAGAATTCTATATATGACTCGTTGACATAACACAGCGACAATAATTCAAGATGAGAAGTTTTCTAAGTTGCAAAGTTTAGTTCGATCAATGTGACTGATTGTGATCTCATATACGACATATATATATATGTGTACACAGCGCGTCAGGAATTCGAAGAGTAGGCGCGGGGGATCGGAAAGCAAGCGGGCCGTACGATTCGTACGGCGCTTGTTGGCGAGCAATAATATATATATTATTATATATAACATATATATATATATTATATACATATATATATTATATATATGTGTGTATATAATATATATTATATATATATATATTATATACATATATATATTATATATATGTGTGTATATAATATATATTATATATATATATATTATATACATATATAATATTCATATATATGTATATAAATGTGTATTTTATATATATATACTTTACTATATATATATGAAACAATTATATACATATAAAACGTATATTTGTGCGACCACGTTCCAAAAAATTCGCAAAAGTTTAGCGAGTGCATATCAAACTCGACTAACAATGAATATTCAAGTCAGATAACATCATGTGCGCATCAAATTTGGAGAAGTAAGATAATTATTTTTAAATACACAAAAACTTTTTTCGCAATTTAAAAATCTCTTTTTATATTTAAGATTGTTAAAAGCAACATGATAATATTCAATCAACATGCTTCAACATGAGAATGGAAACGATACATCTGAAACGCTTAAATTTGAATTTGGCCATTTGAATTTGAATCGCGACTACGTTCAGTGCGCGCCGGTCATTGTATCGTGCGGTTAGTTACGCGAAAGTTACGGCAATTTTAATCGAATTTTCGCGCGCACCCGTACTGTTGAACAATTAAAAATGTTTTGCAAGTGTAATTCTTCATATCAGTGTGATCGTGTAAATGTTTCTAAAGCTGCTTGAAAGAGACTTTGGCCGTGGACGATGACGCTCGAACGGTAAGTCTGTATAATACCTCTAACTTATACTACACCATTGTCAAATGATGCGAATGAAACGCATAGTCATCCATCGCCAGAGACGGTAAAATGTCGAAAGAACACGATTTTGATATGTAAATAACACGAACGTTCGTGTATATACAAGTTGGAAAATACTTTTATCGATGACAACACACGCCTCGAAAATATATTGTAATATAAATCTATAATTTTTGAAAAACGTACATTCTTTCGAAATCACATGTAAGTACATATGCAAGTAGTCGAGAGAGTATGTAACGCGTAATATTTTAGTCTCATGTTTCCGCGCGTAGAAGAAGAATTGCATCATCTTTTGTTGCAAAAGAAGTTGCAACTTTTGTTCTGAAAGAGAGAGAGAAACGGTTATCTCTTTTCTAATCTAATTCAAACGCAAACTGTTGGCTTGGCGTGTCGGGTATACCTACAACGTTTACACGTATCTTGGAAGCTCATACATATAAGTTTAGCGGTTCGAGAGTCGACAGAATTACGGATAAGATATTACATCCAAAAAATGCTACGTTTAGACACTACGCTATACTGATATATCGTTTTACTCACAATCACTCAGACTGGACCTCATTGTATACAGTTGTGCGGTCGTTCTATTATCTTTATTTATCTTACCCCTCAAGCACATCTAGGTACAAATTGTGATAACCGGATTCTGATTATGCGGTATAGGAAAGACATTATTTCGTGCTTGAGTGAGATATTAAAACTGCGTTACATTAGATAAACGGTTGATTATACGATAAAGTAGCTGTCGCTCATGGAAGGTAATGTGACTTCTTAAATGTCTTAATTAGGATTACACAACACAGCGAATCGATCCCTCAGATCATGTGTAACGATATAAAGTCAATTTAAAATAACTAGTAATATCAAGTAGATTGATGGAAATTTTCATATGTCCAGCAATAGGAATTGAATTAAACGTGTCGTTCAATTTGGTTTCAAGGAAATGTTTCAAGAGAAAAACTAAAAGAACGTTTATTCAGAAATCACTTAAATTTGCAAGTAATCTGAGCAACCGATACAGCTTCTGACTTCTGATTTCTTAAAACTACAATAGAGACTTTAACATGATTTCTCGTTATATCATACATAAATATATACAAACACATTTTTTCTTATATCAACAATAATTCTCATAATCGTTCATACTAATATCATACAAATATATATATATATATATAGAGATATATATATATGTGTGTGTGTGTGTGTGTGTATATATATATATATAAGCTTTATATATCAATTTGAAGTATAATATTAATTTATATTAGAATACTCTTCAACATGTTGAAAGCAACATTTGCATTTTAAATATGCACATATCAAATTACAAATCACATACCAGTCCATTGCACCTTAAGGTTGCCATAAGATACACTCTTTGTGTATAAATATCATAATCATTAGTAAATATCGAGCTACGTTTTCTTTTTCTTTCTTAATTACATGTTATATGTACCAGTTTCGAGAGGAAGAGTGTAGTTTTAGGGGAGGATTACATCGCGCTTTATAAAATTGACTGTTTGCACGAACAGACAACTAGTGTATTGGTACCTGCAAAAGAGAAACATAATCGAGACGGTGCTTCCTAATTTATCTCGTTATGTACATTAATATTTTCAATATTAAGTTTTTTATATTTTTCACATAATTTTTCTTCATAAATTTTGTAAACATTTTCCAGAAAGTTACATAAAATATTTAATAATAACAAAGTTATAATAACTACAAAAAAAAGTAAAAGTTATAATAATAACTACAAAAAAAGTAAACACGCTTTGCATGCGACGTTTAACTTTGCAAATATTTAAAATAAATTTGTGTAACTTTTAAGAGATTTTTTTCAAAGCGCTACACGCGTCATATTCTATCGTATCATCTCTCTACCGAGATAGTATATTTTTAAGAAATAATCGAAACTTTAGATTATCTGTGTGTGTGATATATATATATATATATATATATATATATATCTTATATATAGAATAATAAATTATATCTGCGATTTCTCTAAGTAATATGGCAAACACCATTCAGAAACTTGTTTAGCATGCTACATAGTTTTGGCACTACGTGTCTTCCATCTTCTGCCTCTTATGATCCTCCCTAACCACGGATTCTTCCGCACTTGGTTTCTGAGTATTCTCTTTATCTCTACTACATTTACCCGTGCTCCTATCCCCGTGAATATTTGTACTAGACTCTGTTTCAATGTTATGTTCAACAAAACAGTGTACCTGTAACTCGTTTACAGTACGCATAGATACATGGCAAACTTGGCACTTGTATGATTGTAAATTGTCTTCCGCTCTTGTGTCTTCCGTCGAAACAACAGCCGGCATCGGTCGCTGCTCTTTAACAGGGAAAACGCGTCTCTGTTGACCGAACTGGGGACTGCGGAGGCGAACGTCGTTGACGGCTTTCGTTTCCTCGGTAGCGATTGGCACGTGATATGATCGAGAGACGTCCGCGTCCGTCGCTTTCATGTACTGCGCGTGAAATGCGTGCTGCGATATAGGTTCGCCCTCGTCCGATGAGGTTTCGCTGCCGCTTACGACCGGTCCAGGCAGAGTTTCCGTGTCCCACTGCGCGACCTTAGCGGGATCCTTCTCGCACAATCTTTGAGCTAACATCTGTCGAGAAAAACGCAAAAATCGATTTTTATGTTACATGTTCTTCGTCAATTGTAGAAAACAACTGCGTGCATCAACTTTGTTACAAACCTTCAAACTATTAAGACTATTATCACAGTCCGTAGTGTCAATATCGTTCAAATTGACACCCGACCTTTCCATCTCCGCGTATGTTCCAAATGGCAGCTTGCCCAAGCACTCCAACTTCATTATGTGCATCTTGCTACGAAGATGCTTGGCCAAATGGCCGTGTATTCTGAATGCCACTTTACAATCCGTACATTTGAATGGCCTGGGATTGCTAGTAGTCGCCGCACCAAATGTAGAAGTCATACTGACCTGTGGGTATAATATAAATTTTTATTTTTAGAAATTTAAGCGTATAATGTTTTTAGCACTTTTGTGTTGTTTACAAACATGTAGCATTGTTTGTGTTTTCGCATTGGGAAAATAAAATCAACTCGTCGATTTACCTTATTGTGATGGGATACAGATCTCTCGTGTTTTGTTAAGTGACCTTTCGTCCGGAAGGAAACTGCGCAACTTTCACATCTGAACGGCCGTTCAAAATAATGAATGTTGATATGCAATCGTAACTGACTAGGCTTGTTGAATATCTTGTTACAAATTGCACATATACTTCTCCCATCTTCTGTAATACTGTAATCAGATTCAATGGTCTTGAGCACTTGTATATATATATATATATATATACGACCGAAATTATTTTCAAATACAAAAAAAATAAATAAGTAAATATATAAGAGAGAGAAAGACGAGATAAAAAAGAATGTTGATATTTATGAAGAAATAAATATTCGGTAGAACTCCATTTATTGAAACAAATTTTTGAGAATAACATTAATTATCGGAAAGATTTACTGAGCTCTTATTATCAAAACTGCTGTCAAGCGTCAGTCCGACTATATATAAATTTGCGTAGCGCCAAATTCTTTTAACTTTAGAGAATATGTAAATACAATATGTAAATACATTCAAGGTTTCTAATTTGATGACTAGACATTAGTTAGATACCAAGCGGCGTTTTGAGATAAATGGAGTTTTCTACTATAATTCAAAAAAAATAAAAAAATAAAAAACAAGTTTATATTAACATATATGTATAGACGTTTATGCAAAACTTTTTTAAATTAAGAACACTGCTCACCTAACGTAGTTAGGCGGCGGTCCGCTCGACGGTTGTAAAAATTCTGCTTGCGGCTTCGGGTTTCCCATATTCGGCGAAGGCGATCGAAAATCCGGCCCGACAACTATTTTTCTAGCTACCGTGTGTTTTATACTGTCCGGTATATTTTGTTTCTCCGCATTGTGTTTCGTATCGTAGTAGACAATTCGTATCTCTTGAGTATTTCTCGCATCGACGTTTTGCGGTTTGCCAGATTCGTGCATGGATGGTTGTATTACCTCGTAGTTTGCACGATGATCTGAAGATTGCGTTCTGTATTCCGAGAGAACTCTTATGTCACTGCTTGGCGGTCTATTATCTGAATTTGTTTGTCGCATTTCCATATTTGTCGACGGCATAAGCTCCTGAATAACTTGCATATCGTGAGCGTTGTATGCCGCCAGATATTCACGGCTAGGTGGTCTCATTTCCTGTCCGCGCATTTTGTACTCCATCTTGTACTCCTGCTGACTCGGTAGTCTCAAATCCTGATTTGGCGTTTTGTATTCCTGACCGGGCGTTCTAATCTCCCTACTGGGCGGTCTCAAATCGAGATTTCGCGGACTATGATTCTGTATTCGCATGTCGCTATTTACGGCTCTTAATTCGTGATTCGCGGATCTCATTTCTTGGGTAACAGGGTGGCATTCTCTGGGTCTTTCTATTTCACTCATCATCTTCATCGCGAACATGGGATTTCTGTCAATGTCGTTGTTCACGTGCATCAACGGCGGTCGATTAACGTCCATATTCAAGGATTTTGGTGAATGTCGCTCGATCACCGGTGTATTGCGATGAGATGCGTCACCAGAATAAACCGATCTCTCTACGGAACTGTTGTTCTTAGTTACTGGCAAATTGTATTCGATATTCGATCTTATACCAGCAAGATCGTTAGTTAAATTGTGTTGCTCAAAATTTTCACGATTAGAAACCAGATGATTGGATTGCTCTTTATCTTTGTGAATATTTTCATAGTCGAACGCTCGTCTTTCCATCGCCATGTTGTTTTGATAAATCTTCTCTCTGATCTCCATTTTGATGTCGTCACTTGTATGCTTTGTCATATGTTTAATCCTAGATTCCATAATAGTGTGCTGCATCTTACTAGGATCGGTGTACGTCACTGTTGGGACGCCGTTGCAATCTACGTGTCTAGATCTACCAAGATCCTGATGCCGCGGATAAGTCTCTCTTTCTTGTACCTGCTTGTTGTCCATTTTAGTATTTCCTACACGATACTGCTGTTTGATTTTGCTGTCCATTACGTGTCTCTCCGTGAGATACGCTTGCAACATGTGACCTTCCGCGTCCGGCTTCCATTCTCTACCTTGTATAGGCAATCGTTCCATCGTCTGAACTATCGTTTGCAACAGGACCGGTTCCGAAACAGGAGTCAGAATATCTGCAGGTCTAGCTCTTTGCGGAATCGGCGAGGGTAGCAATTGCGTTGTCTGTTTTAACGTGAGATCTATAGGTTGAGATAACTGATGAGGTGATTCAGATGAAGCATCGATGACTTCTTCGACCTCGAAGTCAGCATCGTCCTTCTTTGACGATTGGATCACGCTGATTCTCGGTTCTTCTGTCGAATTTCGAGTCGACGGAAAGTAATAACGTTGTGGTACCTCGTTTTGGACGGGAGCCGTTCCTTGCGCAGTGACGTTTTGACTGCTCACGACCGATGTACTCGCCACAGTAGACACGACGCTCGCTATGGTAGTAGTCGATAAAGTCGACGACGCGTACGGATACGTCGTGGGTCTACCAGACGGCAGCAGACCCGGTATTGTGTTGGTCGTGTTACGTTGCGAAAGACTCAACAGGCTTTGAGCCGCTTCTTGTTCTTCGTTGCCAGACTCTTCACTTTCCTCACCTTCACTCTCCTCTTCTTCTTCCGAAGATTCCTCGACATTGCCCCCTCCAGTCGCGGCTAGTCGTGCAATAGCTTCCTTGTCAATATTTTCATCGCAAACCGTTGTGGGAACTGGTACCACGCCTAATTCCACGCACTTCTTATAGTGTGCCTTGGACTTCATATGCTTCGTAAGGTTGCCCTTCGTTTTGAAACTGTCGCATGAATAATTTAAACTGTGATAAATTGAAGACCAATTGAAGACAAGCTAACAGAGTTATCATATATTTTCAAAAACTTACCTAAATGCACAATGCTTGCATGTGTATGGTCTAACGTCTGTATGGGTTCTGATATGTTTCTTCAACATAGATGGTTTTTTACAACGAATTCCGCATTCTTGGCATACATATCGTCCCCGACCTTGCGTAAAATATGATATAATTAAAGATTTACGTTTGCAACACTACAGTTAAAAATAATAATAAAAAAAAGAACAACTTTAATAAGATCTGTTTCGAGCAATACAAAAGTTCTTAAAATTTATTAATCAAGAGGCAACAAGAATGTTGCGAATTCAATTTTAAATAGAAACGTTTCGGCCCTCCTCACTTGAGCCCTCCTCTCAGTGTATAATATAAAATTAGTAATTACGCCATATTACATGAATCGAAACGCAAAAGTATATAAAACGCAAACGTAGTTGAAGAGCTCGGTGATTAACAATAAACACAGACGAAGAAAACAGTTTACATTTAGAAAGTTAAGAATCAAACATTGAACAAAGCAAAGGCAACGGTTTATACGTATAAGTCCCCGCTACTGTGACAAAGTCGAAGTAAACAAGTTTGTTAGAATCCAAAATTTGAAAGATTTGATTTCGTCAAGTAAATTAAAATACGAGTGGCCAAGCAAATCAAGTGTCATTTATTAAATTTAGACCATGTGATTGTTCTACTAATATGTATGTATAGTCTCAGATATCAGTCTTTTATAAAAATTAAGATCATGGTCTAAACTATAAGTATTGTCCCAGTTAAAAGAATGATTAAATTCAAGTCTTATGTTTAGAAATTATTGATAATTGTGAGGATGTCTTATTAATATTGTTTTTATGTTCTTTAATTCGTGTTTTGTGTTGTCTTTTAGTCTGTCTAACGTAAGATATGCACACAACAATTTATATAATCAATTTTATAAATTATATTCGTATTAAAGTCGTGTGCAGTGAGAGGTCTTTGTGTACTTTAATAATTTTATTCAATCTATTAAGATATTTGTGTAACCTACAATGACTTCAGCTTTTCTGAAAGAGTGTTGCTAATATTAGAAATGTTATTAATATAATGGTAAAACAATTAAATTTCTGTCTGAACTAGAAGAGTTGAAGTCAAAAGATTTATCAAGTTTCTTGGAAATAAATTTTTTAATTCTAATATTAATATTGTTCTTAAAGTTGTTCTTTTTTTTATTATCTATATTACGAGCGGATTTCTATATTTTTTTATATAGTTAAAAATATTTATTATAATATCTAAAACATGCAATGAGATTCAAAGAAAGAGAAAGGCCGCAATACAGATTTAAATCCTTGAAGCCAGTCTTTATATATTAATCATTTGGTGAAAACGACAGTAAAAACAAAAAATAATATGTTTTTCCTCACCTCTTCCGCGCACATACGTATAATCTTCATTGCTCTCGAAGCCTCCGTCACATATCTTCACTCTCTTAGCTTTCTCTTGCATGTCATTTTCCAATCCGCTATCCGGACTGACAGGGGTGGTTGGTCTTTGTGAAGAATGTGTCAGAATATCTTCTTGCTTTTTCCACGCGGTAGTGTAACCGAGAGGCCTGTGCCGCGAGTCGTAGTGCGCCATGTCCACGTCTGGCGGTGTCTCCTTACATACCTTCCAATTGGAGTACATCGACAAACCGTGTTGCTGCGTAACGTACATCGGCTGCGGTCGATTTAAAGTGCAATAGAACAGTCTGGTGGAACACTTAAGTCCCAGATATGTGTAGGCGTGCCCGTTCAGATACAACTGACCGTACGACTTCTTAGGTCGCGGAGTTTCGGGACTGATGAGAGGGAGCGTGTTAGCCGTTGGTGTGATCCCGTGATGCATTTTTGCTGTAAACGTACCGGGCTTCAGTGGCAACGATGTGGGCCTTAAGAACTTTTTAGAGTTAGTCGCTTCCTTAGCGATATCGCCGCTATTTTTCGGCGATTTGGCCTCAGGCTGTTTGTCCTTAACAACTAATTCTACGGAAGTTTTTGTTGGCACTTCTGTTTTGGAAGAATCTAGATTTACTAGTATCACTGACGGCGCGTTATCGGCCTTTACCTTGGCCCCGTTAAATGAATATCCGTCCGCGTTCTTCGCCCATCCACGTTCGTCTAAAGCGATGCTACTCTTCAATCGACCGTTTTCGTGAGGAGATAGATCGTATTTGGAGATTGCAACATGCGTGTCTACTGGCGCTGCCCTGCCGGCGTCTATCTCGCTGACACCCCAATTGGACGGCCTCTTCCTACTTTCTGAAATGTTTTTCGGTGAGTATCTCAGTTTGCTATAAGAAGAAGTCGTCGGATCCATGCCGTTTGGATAACTAAACGTTCTATCCAACTTTGGGCTCTTGTCATATGTAAATTCTCTTCTCTCGCGCGGGCTTTCTAGGTTTTTGTATTTCACATTATTCTTGATATGACGATCAAGCTCTGCCTTGCCGATCTCTCCACCGGTAGGCGTCGACGGCATCCTCGCACGATACTTGTCCGTCGATGTCTCGACCTTGACACTAGGAACTTTAGGACTGGTCAAGCCGCTCTTCAGACTGTCGCTGTTCGGAGTTTTGAAACTGATTTTTGCCGTCTCCTTCGCCGGACTAGCCAAGTCCAGAGGCTGGTCCAGCATGGAGGAAGCATGTCCAGACAACGGACCCGGCATGCCGGGCACCGTACTAGGTTGCACCTTCACCGGACTAGCCAGATCTAGCGGCTGAGGTACCATGTGCAGACCCGGTACACCCGGTATTACCTTGTAATTGGCTTCGCCGGCTGTTATACTCGGAGATATGTCTATGGTTGTACCGGTCAGCGTGTGCGGTCCGGGCATACCAGGTACATAAGGTATTACTTTACCGCCGTGGAGAATACTAGTGACTCCCGCCTGTCGCAGTGTCAACGGATTGTAGGCAGTGATGCTCGGCAGCGGGTTGAGAATGGGAGGTTCCAACAGGTTATAGCAGTTAGGCGTTATATTCGGGGTTGATATGTTCGGTATGATGGGCGCCAACAACTTAGGCGTATTGGGTAAGGATATGGAAGAGCTAGATGTACTGGCCGACGCTGGTGTCGACGGTTTATGCACCATTGTACCACCCGAATGTAGTCCAGACCTCACCACGACCGATGTTTCCGTAGTTATGCATTTGCCGTTACTCAGATGCTCGTTAGTAGGCGAATTGTTTTGCCGCGGCTCGATCCTCATCGTTTTCGTCTCACCTGTATTGTCAAGTATCCTCACCTCGCCACCGAACATCTGTAGCGAGTTTGGACGTGGATACTTGCTGAGCTCTTCCAATGATCTCAAGCTTGTGGGAACGAGATCTGTTCTTGGTTTCTTGAGGACCGGCGCGTACGCGTCGACTAGTCTAGTGTTGCCTAGCAGAGGACCCGGCGAGGGTAATGGCTGCAAGGTGCTGTAATAGTCGGAAGACCTAGAGTCGAAGTCAGAATCACGTTTTTCCAACTCAGTCTGATAGTCGGTTCCTTTTCGAGGGCTGCCGACGCCCTTACAATAGTATCTACGATGTGTCTCCAAGTTGTCGATGCTAGTGTAAGGAATATTACAACTGGGACAGAGAAAGTTCTCCACAGTCTCCGGCCCGTTCGTTACAACACCGCGAGTCTTCAGGAGGAGATCCTTGATGATCGAACCTTCAGAAGTTGGCGTATCCTCTTTCGCTTCTTGGGCGCAACTGTCGCTGTAGCAACGTTTCCTGCTGCTCGGAGAGCAGCTCTGCTCTACAGAAGACAAGTTCAACGGTTGATGCTCGATCGACTGCTTTGTCTCCACCAGACTCTGCTGACGTTGCATCAGTTTGTGCAAACGCGGATCCACAGCCTCGACGATCGCCTGATTGTCCGTGATGATCTTGTCGATGTGTTCCTGCAGCTGTTCCGCGTTTGGTTTGACGGAATTGGAAGCAGACGTAGTAGTGGAGGGAGAAGAGGAGGAGGAAGAAGAAGAACTACTGGAAGAACTCGGAGATAAGGAAGACGATTCGGTGTCGTTCAGACACTGCAGAGCCGTTCGAGCTTGGAACTTCGGTTTGTAGATCTTACCAGTCTTCACGGTCTTCAATGCAGCGGTTGATACCGTCGTTGTCGTCGTCGTGGGCGTCGACGCGGGAGGCGGCGGTGGTGTACCAGTGCCATTGCTAGCACTGTCCGATAGACTTATGTCGGAATCTTCCGATACCTGCAAAAAAGAGCGTTAAATTGCCGTGTGTTAATTAGATGTCAAGGTCAAAACAATGGTATGAAATTTTTATGTAACACACATCTTATTTATTTTTCTTTAACAGTCTATATGTCACACTCCAAAATTATAAATATAAAAACTTGCAAACTTTAAGACTTGAAAATCACAAACTTTTCCTTTGCATTATTATTCAATATTAGATAACATTATTATCTTTTATAAAATTAGGATAATTTGTATAACACACTAAATGTTTCTATACTTTTTATTTTTAATAATTAATGGAATAATTGATAATATATAGATTACCTTGTCGCCTTTCTCCATCTTATGTGCGTGAGAGCGTGATCTGCGATGCTTGTACAAGTTTGACTTAGTTTTGAAGGCAAAACCGCACGGTAAGCACGGATAAGGTCGCTCGTTTGTGTGCGCCCTGATGTGCTTCTGAAGTACGCTCGGTTTCGCGCAGACCAGCTTGCAGTACGGACAAATATTAGCGGCCTTCCTGGACTCGACGGTGGGCTCGGTTGCCACGGGTTCCGGAGAAGTCTCGAGCTTGCTGCCAGGCTCTTTTGAAGGCTCCTTGCTGTCCTTCTCAGCGTCCTTTCTCTTGGGTGTCTCGATAGGGACGACGTTGTTCGCCGTGGCCTCCTTCTTGGGCTCGACGACCTTCGACGTGACCTCGGTCGTCGCCATCTTTTTAAACTTCTTGTGCAAATATTTTGGTTCGCCATCGTTATTGTTGTTATTGTTGTTGTTGTTATTGTTGGTCAGCTGTGGGTCTGTCATCGCCACGGTGTGGGTCTCTGCGAACAGCGCGGCACCAGGTACGTTTAATCACTGCCGATTGTCGGGAAAAAAGAAGCGAAGTGAAGAAGAGAATGCGAAAGATCACGTGCGACAGTGGTCCCCGGGTGGTGGTCTCTCAGGTGACTCAGACGCGAGAAACGGACGTCGTCGTACGAACAAACGAACGACGACGACGACGACGACGACAACGACAACGGAGGGGAAACGAAGGTGATTCACGAAGGATTCTCCTTACTCCGCGCGAATCGCCGAGACGATTCCACGAAACGGACGCCAATTAATTCAATATTAATCGCCGATTGTCGATATAAATGTGAATGTTGACGATGGAAAGCAAATGCGTAAAAAAGTCCCGACGTAACGGATTTACAGAAGCGATGTTTTTTTTTATTACGTGAGAGGCGACTTTACGTAAGACCGCTAATGACGCGTCTAATTTACAGTGACGATACTCGTTCGGGAATATTTTGCACGTGGCGATTGTACATAAGGAAAGCGCTCCAAGGCCGATCACTGTTCATACTGTGTACCTACAGACGATGGTGATTGAAAAATTCTAGATGTCATTTGCCTCGTGACGTTTCCACAAATACACAGATGATACTCTTGGTATCGTAGGTGTAAGAAGGAAAATATGAATTCTCGTTTAAATGCGTTTGCATTACGTTTTATCGATTAGTTTAATGATTGCTTGACGAACATAAAATAATTGATTTGCGTTAAATCACGGCCAAATCATCGAACATTGTTACATCGTTATTGCATTAAAATGTGTTTCGATTTGTTCAGTTTTATTTGTCCATTTTTATTTGCACGATAATGTTACACAAAATTGCACATACATGTGATTTTTAATTTCTTGTAAATCAAGTGTAGTAGATTAGCAGTATTTGATATAAAATAATGATATGGTATAAAAATAACAATACATCAGATATATTTACAGCAATGCATGCTGCATTCTATTTTCACCGATCGTCCCTCGACTGACAGTGCATCTATTTTCGCATTAATTAACTTGATCGTACAAGGTTGAGAGAGAGATACAAGTATCAAATTTATATACGAAATTGCATACGCAAACGCGAGAAACGCACGTGTGTTCACTTTATAGCGATTTATAGCGTTTAACACACAAGGAAAGTGACTCTGAAATTATTCTGCGGTACTTTCGCGAGCGGGAAAATACTCTCGACCGTGAATATAACCGCTAATAATAATCTGTCAATAGATATTTCTCCGCAGCAAAGAATAGTCGAGCCATGGGTTAAAACCGGTGATACCCACGTACGGGGAAAATAGCGGCGACGACATAAGAACTTGAAAAGGAATTTAATTAAGAAAATTATTCACACGCATATGCGTAAGATATCTTTGCGGCATGCCAATTTTAAAGAAATTCGCTTTAAGCTACGCATTGTTCTTACGATATTCTCAACGAGAAAATTAAAAACAAATTTTAATTATTTAATTATATGTTCTCAGCTTGTTGAATATTTAAATAAAAAAATTAAGGAAATGGCAATAACAAGCTAACACCAGATGTTCGGGTACAATTCTTTTATAATTCTAAGATTTTAAAAAAGTTTTAACAAAAACGTTTCGATCCACTATGGGATCTTCTTCATCATCTTCATGTGATCTTGAATAGATCATTATTTTTGTAAGTTTTTATTAAAACACCGAAGAAGATCCCATAGTGGACCGAAGTGTTTGTTAAAACTTTTTTTAAAATCTTAGAATTATAAAAGAATTGTACCCGAACATCTGGCGTTAGCTTGTTATTGCCATTTCCTTAATTCTTTTTACTTAATTATTTAATTATTTATTTTTAATTATTTAGATTTAAAAAAATTAACGAGGAACGAACGGCGGGTCACAAAAAATGTAATTTTAATATGCTGATTAAATATTCAAATAAATATGCATCAATATCGTTAAAGAGATATTTTGAACACGTTCGAGAGATTGCGGGGATTGGTTTAAACGCAATTATAATCAGTGTGTTTGATATTCAAGGCGCGACAGGTCGTCTCTGCAAAATTACGCGGCAATATAACGTTACGAAAGTGGAAGAAGGACGAGTTTAAAAGTTCAAATTCGTTTACGCATAAACAAAACTCTCTCTCTCTCTCTCTCTCTCTCTCTCTCTCTCTGTCGTGATTATGTTTTCATTTATAAACTGAACGATGTTTTTTTCCGTTTGACTATTGTTGTATAGTCGATCGACAATTTATTGGGTGTAAAATTGTTTAAAATTTTACACTGTTCTTCGTATATTCTTGTATCTCTCTTTTACTATAATGTTCGCGTAGTTAGAACGTCGACCACAGCTGACGCCTCCGTTACAAGTCGAACTTGATACAGTTGATTAATCTGATGTTATCGGCACGCGCCGCAGTTGCATGAAGATCTTTTGAGATCAAAATCTCCATTCGCGTTTCACGAGAGATGCAAGTTGCATAATCATGCGGAATTACCGAAACAGTTACGCTCAAATTCCGTATGTAAATATTATTTTGTAAATATTGTTTTCATTAAAATTTATTATTACCGTAAAGATTTATCGTGTGCTCTTAATTTTAAGTATCTTAATTCGTTCTTATACTTAAACTTGAATTTAAAACAAAATGAGTTTAACTCATTTCGCACAACTGAATGATTACTATTGAAATTAGTATGGGAATCGCAATTTTTATCTTATCTGCGTCTTGTCACCACTATCGTGTCGCAAAGAATAAGCATCGCCGTGACTGAAGGTTCACGTCGTTTTCTACGTATATTTTTATAGCTAGCAGAAATCGCTGGCCTTTTCTTGGACATCACTTTCGCGGTACCGTTCGCCGAAGTGCTCTGATAATTTTGGATCGCGCTATTTATACCCGCAAACACAGGGGAGAGAGAAATAAAGAGAAAGAGAGTGAGAACGAAGCAGAGAAAGAGACAAAAAGAAAGAGAGAGGAGTTGGCAGAACACAAGCCAACCTGATTCGTCGACGGAGACATTCTTCGCGGAAAGTCCAAACGACCAGACTTACGTCGACGGTTCATTTGGCAGCGGTTTTCTCTGAAGAGGAACGTCGGGAAACTACCGTTTCCGCGAAGCTTTCGATTTTAGAGTACGCCTGACGCACGACAATTTATGCGATTTTGCGAGAAGAAAGAAATCGCTCGTTTAATCGCGATCGCGTTAATTGCAGCTGTTAAAAATTACGGCGCGCATGCCGAGTACAAATTGACCGATCCGCGGATGAAAAAAGCTCCTTTTATAGACGACACGTTGTGGGAGGATACGCGTGACGCAAACGCACGCGCAAGATACGCGCGAGAGTTTCACATTAAGGTGTTCTCTCTCTCTCTCTCTCCTCCGGCCAGCGACACAGCGGCGGCGAATCCGGCGGGAATGAATGAAACGACAATGGCTCGCGCGCTCGTCTTGCCGTCCAGTCCATTCTTGTTCCGCTCGCAGTTCTATGCCTCTATATCTGCGTGTGCTATACTGCGACGCGGTATCTACGCCGTATTATCGCAGGATGTTTTATGAGTTACAGCCGACCCAGAAGTTCATGCGCGAGGAAACTGAGTCATCGACATCAACTCGCGTGGCTTTTGCGCGCGATCGCAAATTTACATAAGATGCCTTGTTATAACAATACGTGGCACGATATATCTACCAGTGTGACTTTAGAGAGACAGGTACAATAGGTGTGTCTGTAGGTGTGTGCATCGCTGTTTTAGTGAGAGAACATTGTGAGAATGTTCGAAGTAGATTGTGTGACTCATACTCCTCGCGCAACTGCATTATAATTTGCAACTTGGCGATTGAAAGTTGAAGTTTTTTTCAAAAATGCGTAAAGCTGCGAAGCAGAAGAACGCTTATAGTCAACGAATATTATTTTCAACGAGATTTATTTTGGAAATTTTGATCAATTAAATGACGAGGAATATATAGCTTTTGACACAAACTTGCAGTTTTATAAAAGATTCTTATTTTTATTGAATATAATTCAACTAAATGATAAATATACTTATTAGCATTTACAGAGAGTATTTTTCTCTGATTTTTCGATTTGTTGTATCGTTACGCGCGTCGGTGAATCGAGGCTGATAAACGGACTGACATAAGGGGAAGGGAATTATCACATCGACGGTGGTTTACCCACTCGAGTTTCGGTTTATTCAATTAACGGCTTCTCAAATATTTGTCTGAAATTGCAGCTTGTTATCGAAGTTATTCGTGCATTATGCGCGCCATGTTCACGAGAGAATCGCCTTGTAGCGAATATACTTCACACAAAACAAGTGTATGGCCACGCAATAAAATACGGTAAGCTCGTATATGTGCGCCCGTGCGCGCGGAGTCCGATGAAAATGGGTCATGATACGTTTTGTTTGCGTTTCGAGCAAACGCAGATGCAGATTTCGGCGAGCTACACTTGGCCGTATAAATAAAATACGCCGCGGATATTTCTCCGAATAACGCGCTTGAATAACCACCCCCGCGCACATCGGACGTATTTAACTTCATGAGAGATCACAAACATAGAAACGAAACATAGAAAAACACCGGCTAGAGACCATTCCTTTTTTTGTACACAAAAAACATTTTCTCGCGTGTGTAATATTTTACCTTTCTTTATTTTACTTTAATAAATACGGGAAAAAATCTTACATAAAAAATAGAACCTTATTTAAAAGACTTATCTATATATATATATATGTGCGGTCTTTTTTTGGTATTTCAATTGACGGACTCGTCGAATTTTAATTTTATTTTGACGTTAAAAGAAAAATCAACTTTGACGTGACCTTATCCCGCGCTTATTCGACATTTGATATTTTTCATCTAGAGTTACTTTCAATTTACGTCCACTGTGAGAAATAACTCGAGGAAAATCTCAACGCCGTTTTACCTTTTAAAAGAAGAATCATTTTCGCCTCCGTACACTGTTTTTTTTTGTTTTTTTTTTTTTGTGGCAAATTCGCGCTTTAATCTT